GTAACAACTGCTCCTTAAAGAACACTCCATGAAGCTTTACAGGGATAAAGGAAGTTTGTACACAGTTGATTTTTGTCTCTTCAGTGAGTTTCATGATGAAAACACACCATCTTCCACATGCAAGGAGGTAGATGATCTTCCACTATCAATGTGTGCAACTGCTACAGGCCTTGTTTGTGACACTTGGCTTTCTAACCAGTTAACCAGTGTTCTGCATGGTGGCTTTGGTTGTTGGTGAGATGTTCCTATGAATGAGTTTTCTCTGTACTCAGTGTAATAACTGCCTCTTGGTTTTTGTGTTAGTGTAGTTCAGTATCACTAGAAATATGTAAAGCTTGCTGCTCTACCTCCTGCAGCAATAGTGAATGTCAGGAGCTAGCTTGTTACTGTGCTGCTACTGTACTTGAGAGGAAGTTGATGTCAATCTTACTGTTAAGAGGTGTGATGTGCCTGCAGGACCTTGGCACATGCTGTTCCACTGAAGATAGTATTTGAACCCTTAATTCAAGCAGATCATCCTGTTTTTTTTCTCTTCCTCCTCTGTTAAAGGGTATATGATCTTTTGTACATGCTACTTGAGAGCTACAGCAGAATCTCTGAAGTTGATGTCAGTCTTACTGTTAAAAGAGGTGTGATGTGCCTGCAGGACCTTGGCACATGCTGTTCCACTGAAGATAGTATTTGAACCCTTAATTCAAGCAGATCATCCTGTTTTTTTTCTCTTCCTCCTCTGTTAAAGGGTATATGATCTTTTGTACATGCTGATGGAAACAAAGCTTGTTAGGTGAGAGAAGTTCAAGTGCTTAACATTCACTTTAATTACTCAGCTTCTTCACTGTGGTTCAGATGTCTGTGCTTGGCTTCCTTAGTAATTGTTCCTGCAAACTTGTGTGTGTTAAAAGTGCTAACATCAAGCAATACTCGTACTTCAACTCTCAAATAATTTCAAATATGTGAATTGTGGAATGGAGAGCTGTAGGTGAATGCTGCCTAGGAATGGACAGTTTGTTGTACTTATTGCTTCTGTAAATGAGACCACATGTCTCAAGAAGATCCTATTTTACTTATTATTAGCCTGAAGGTGAAGCTAATTGCAGAGTTGTCAGTCTTAAGTTCTCAAGGAAGGGGTGGAAGTGCACGAGAGCTGGCTGGGAAAATGTAGAGCTGTATTGAGCTGCACACTGATAGCACACAATTCTCAAGGATGTTACTGCTCTGCCTCTATTACTGGCAGCCTTTGCCTCTTCATGGATCATAGAATCACAGAATGATTTGGGTTGGAAGTGACTGTAAGGACTATCTAGTTCCAACACCTGCCAGGGGCAAGGACACCTCCCACTAGAGCAGGTTGCTCAAAGTCCCCACCAACCTGACTTTCAACATGTCCAGTGATGGAGCATCCACAGCCTTTCTGGGCAGCCTGTTCCAGTGTCTTGCCAAGCTCACAGTGAAGCATGTCTTCCTTACGTCTGACCTACATCTACCCTATTCTGGTTTGAACCCATTGCCCTGTGTTCTATCACTACAAGCCCTGGTGAAAAAGTCCTTCCCCATCTTTCTTGTAGGCCTCCTTCAGAAACTGGAAGGCTGCAATAAGGTTTCCCTGGAGTCCTCTCTTCTGGCAGCTATGGGAGTTGTCATGCAAAAATTCTGTTTTAATAGAGGAACTGTGCTGGAGAAGTGAGTTTCTCAGCACACAGTTTGCTGCTTTTCGATTGAGTGTTGCTGAAGGAATTTACTAATCCTTTGTACTTTAGCACAGGAGTGAGATGAGGTATGTTGATGACATTAACTTTTCAAATTATACAGTGATTGCTTTCAGAAAAATCTCTGTACCGCCCTAGAAACAGTGAGGCCAGGCTTTCAGCTGTACTTATGTGTATCCAAACTTATTTAACAGGGTATGGTAGTATTCTTCCAGACTTGCATAGTGGTGTAACTTGAAACATGACTTAAGTGAATTAAGTTGCAGATAGAGAGGAGACATCTCTTTTAATGCTTGTACATGTTTAAACATCTAACTTGAGTAGTTAAACAAGGTTTGCATAGTTAACAGCTATTGCTTTAGGAAAAAACAGTTTGTTTGGCTTCTTACATGTGCCCATCTCCTCTCCCTGCCACAACCTGCTCTGTGCAAGCTACAGACCTGGTGTTACTGGAGTTAGGTAGCAGACACTTCTTTGATGCCAAGATGGCTCTGACTGGGGCTGGTCAGAGGGCTGGCCTTTGCAGGTATTTATATTTAGTGACCAAAACTGTGTTATGAGTGAGCTGCCTCTTTTATCTGTTCACCTGTTACCTTTTAATTTCTGAGCTTTGATTGACCTGAAGTCAACTACAATGCATCTGTCTGTTGGGAGGGAGCACAAAGCATTTTTTAAAAAAATTTAAGTATTTTGTTTATCCTTTAGAGAGAGCTGTTCTTCAGAGCCAAATTATTGAAATACTTCTGCCCAGCTTTAAGTATTAGTTAGCTTTTCATAAGAAGCTTTCTCTCTGAATAACAATATGTATCTCCTTTTATACGTAGCCATGATTACTGTCCTGGTCTGCATGGTAATAGCTCAATGTGCCCTTTCTAGTAAGAATTGTACTCACCTTCTTTAGGAATCTGTCACGTTACTTAAGCAACAAAGTACATGGAATGACTGGGTATGTATAAAAACAAAAAAGCTTTTTTGTGTTTGCATTAACACAGTCATTAGAGTAAGAATACTGTTTGAAGGAGTTAGCTGTAAAGTTGGTAAACGCTAAAGTATAGTTAATATTTCAGCTTGATGGCAATCACACACTCTTGCTGTAGTATAGTCATAGCAATGTGCTATCCAGGGGAGTACTGTTTTAATAGAAAAATCTGCCAATGCTTGACTTCTCATTAGTGTTGCTTAGGGAATTAACTTGTAGGTTGTTTAAGCTGTTAACTTGATTAACCCATATTTTTTTAAGTCACATGGTACTTCTGAGACGTGTTTAATTATGGTCTGTATTAAAGGAAGGTTATTACACATGAGACCAAGTGAATGTAGCTTAAAACAAAAAAAATAGTTAGAAGTTAATAGCATTTCAAGGGAAGTAGCTTCATTTATACCATAATTGTACTGTTACATACTTTAAACCTGGTTGCATGTTTTCATGCAACTTAGTTGGTTTAGGTCATATAGTCTGTGGAAGTTTGACCACCTGAAATTTGTGTGACATATTACATTGAATGTTTGAATACGTGATTCTGCTGGGCAGTCGTAGCAATGAGTCTATAGGCTGCAGTGTTAGAAAGGCTGCCATGTTCCCATTTCTTAGGGATCTGGTTTAAGTAATAACTGATTTGCATCAGACCTAGTTACATGTTTGTAGTTGCTTGAAGGAGCAGCTAGGTGATGTGATTTTTTTTTTTTTTTAAAAAATAGATCATTTAGTTTAACTTGCTCCATGGATTGTGCTCTGGTGTCCAAAATAAAGCTTCATATAACAAATCATATTTTGTTACTCTTTGATTTTGAAGATGTAGCAATATTTAATTAGATGGCTTGGAGTTGGGAATGAGGAGGATGAGAAGAACACTACAGTTAAAGCAAGTCAGAGATCTTTGAGAATACAGTTCTCTAATCTTGTACATACATAGATAAGAGGACCCTACTGAACTGATTTTAGATCAAGGTTGTATTGAGTTTGATGCATAGCAGTCAACTGTGAAACGCAGATAAAGTACTTGATTATATTACTCCTTCATGATTTGTGAATAGTAATGCTGTGGATTTCAATTCACCAGGAAGATTTGCTGGTGGGAGAGAACCAGGAAAGCATTTCACGTAGAAGAACAAGGCTTGATGGAAAGGTGCTCTTGACAGTGCCAGGGAACTTCTGTGCAGCAGCATATGGCCTGTGTTTGCAGAGTTGTGTTATTAGTGCTTCAGGAAACAATTTGTCGTCTTTCTTGAAAGCAGTATTTTTGGTTTCTCAATTCCTTGGAAATCTAAGACTTCTTAACACCTCCTGACCCCCTCAACAAACCAAAAAAAAACTCCCATCACAGATTGTCTGGCTCTTGTGGAGCTTACAGGCCGTGTCTGGGGGAAGACTTCTGAACTTGGGCTGCAAGCACTCAGGTCTTAAAACTCCCAAGTCGTGCTGGTGCCCAGGGTTAACAGTGGGGGAAGGTGCTGTGCTAACTCAGTAGGGGCGAGTAAGATGCATTTGCTCGTTTATGTTCTGAAAATTTGTAAGATTCTTAATCCTCGTAAGAGTCTTAATCCTTTAGCATGTTTTTGTTTCCTTGATAGCATGGGAATGGCTTAATCAGCTCAATTGAAAATAGAATGGTTTAAATCATTTTGTCACCTTGGACACTTATTTCCCAGAAGTGGTATTCATGCCCATCATGTTTGATGTGAGGAAGGCAAGGTGTTACATGGGTTATTAAGACTAGTTAGTGCAGCATACTTTACTTGTAAGGTAGAAGAAATAGTAATAGAACTGCTTGGGAAAAGTAGCCAGAAAAGATTAATCTGAAAAAGTATGTGCTGTTTTGGAGGATCAGTCATAACTAGAGTGGTTCTGAACTGGGAAATGAGGCATTTTATAAAATGGCCTTGGAGAATTTCTAATTTCTCCCATATTCAACACAGCCTCCCCCAACACTTAAATTCCATGTTTTGATGAGGGGTAAGCACTTGATCATCAAGTGTTTGGAAGTGAGTTGAAGAATTGCCTGTTCATAGTGCTAAAGTTTGGGTGGATAGTAAATTGTCTTAATAGTTCATCCAGTAATAAAAGTACCAGTGATTAAAGCAGGACTGTCAGCTTCCTGTGTCTGTCTGATACAGCTCTCCCTCATTACCCAGCCAACTGACTTCCTCCATATGCTACATATGTCTCTGCTGTGGGAGCTTTGAACCACTGTCTAACACTGGCTTTTAGAAGCCCAGTTGAAACTTTTTGGTCGTAATCTCTGTATGATATTTTGAAGCGATTTATATTTTGAATAAAAATCTTCTAACCTGCAGCACAGCCAAGTACAGCGTGGTGACATTTCTACCTCGATTCCTGTATGAGCAGATCAGAAAAGCTGCAAATGCATTCTTCCTCTTCATTGCCTTACTGCAGGTACTGTTTTGTTGGTTTGCCTTGATTATAAAATGGAACTGTAATGCATTAAAAGTGGTTTTAGTTGTTAGGCATAACTGCAAATAAATTCTTATGCATATTTTAGTAGTAATAATATTGAGGTATTTACTTTATACTTGAAATTAGAAGGCAACTTTGGAACTTTTATTAATAAAGATTGTGAAGCCAGGCTACTTTAATAAAAAGTAAAACCAAGAAATAGTAGCATAAAAGGTGGGCCTAATTGATCATACTGAGAAAAACATGTGCATTCTTGTGAAACTGTTGACTCTTTATTGTCCAGATCATCATTGCTTCCAGGTGAATTATATTTGAATGCTTTTCTTGTGAAGAGAGGAGGAATAGAATGAAAGGCATGTACAAGAACTTTATGTAACTTTATGGTAGTAGTTTATTCAAACCTATGAGAGCTTAGGCTAGTTTGCCCACTGAAATTGGATGCCAGTCAGGCATGAATCAGAAGGCTTTGTTCTCTGACAGCTTTGCACAAAGTTCTGAACTTACTGAAAACTAACTTTAAATACAAGTATGAAATGACTATTCCTTCTCTCTGTTCACAGCAAATTCCAGATGTCTCTCCAACAGGAAGATATACCACCTTGGTGCCATTGATATTTATTTTAACAGTTGCTGGCATCAAAGAAATCATAGAAGACTATGTGAGTATGATTATGGGTAAGGGCTTGCTAAAGATGAAATGTTTCAAAAAAGCCACAAAGCTATGCATCTCTGGAATCAGTGTCATTGCTGAACAGCAGCAAAATACTCGGTTGGCTTTTTTAAGCTCTGAACTTGCCTCGAATTTATGTAGCATGCTGAGGTAAAGTAGGCATTTTCCTTATAGGTGATGAACCTCTGTTCAGTGAAAGTCAGAACATTTGTTTCTACCTCTTCAGACTTGTTTGTGCTCTTATTAAAAGATACTGTGGAGTCCTGAGAGATCTGTAGCCTTTTTAGCTCATCTTGAAAATGAGAGAGGAGCAAGGAATGTCAGTATACAGCAAACTGTTCTGGAGAAAATCTGCACTGACTTGCTTGGATACTGTTTAAAATAAAGGTGGCTCTGCTTTGCAGAGTTCTGATAAAATAAACTAGAAAACGGTATAAAAAAAGTAGCACACAAAATGTGTAGTGCAGCTGTCATCGAAATATACTGCTCTTCATGGCCCCATTTGTTTTTCTTCCAAAAACCAGTTTTAGAGAAGTTTTTTTGTTCTTAATCTAGATTTGTGCCTGACTTCCAGTGTGGGGACTCCCAAGTTTTATTTCACTCTTCTACAAACATTTGGGTTTAGATGATCTTTGTGGTTTAAAAAACAAAACCAAACAACAAAAACCAACCAAACAAAAACAAAACCCAAAAACCCAAAACCATAACATCAAGGCAAAAACTGCCCAATGAATCATTTTGCAGTTTGTCATGTTTCTAGCTCTGATGGTTTTCAAATCTGTAATGAACTAATGAGGTGTAATGTAATGTTTTCTTTCTTCACAGAAAAGGCATAAAGCAGACAGTGCAGTGAATAAAAAGAAAACTGTAGGTAAGACTAAACAGTCCCAAAATTAAATATTTGAAGTACAAATAGCTAATTCCAGAACACTTGTTTTTGAGCAGTTTTATTGCTTAAATATTCATGGTCATGGGGAATACGTGTCTTTTTGGATTAGACAGTTATGGGCATGTGAGGATTTTACTTGACCAAATGTTTCAGGTTGATGTTGATAGTGTAACACTTCAGGGAGACACACAGGGAGGATTATTAGAATCTATAAGTTCATGTAGTTTCAAGGTTGCCTGAACTACTGTTCTGAGCTTCTCCAGGAAACAAGCCTTTTTTTTTCCCCCCTTGCAAAATCCTCAATCCACCAGAAAAAAAAAAAACAACCAAACAAAAAAACCCAAAACAAAACCCAAACAACCCAACAACCAGCCCTACAAGATCATGTTAAAGGAGTTTTAAGGAATTGATGTAAATGCTACTGCCTTTAAAATAAGAATAATTCTGGAGATTTTTGTGGAGCGTCACTGAAAAAAAATTAGCGCTGGTATCTTCTGAATGCCTACATGCATCTTGAATGTATTGACACTGCTTGACACTGAATACCTGAAGGTACCTTTTTTTTTCCTCTGTCTCAACTGAAAACCTGTGCAGAAAATGAGGAGTTACTGATGGGTAGCCTGTGGTCAGCCCATGCTGCAACCATGGCATCTTGGTGTTCCCATGTTGCTTAGGGGCTCTGCTGCTCCTCCACAGAGATCTGCAGGTCACTGTTTAGGCAAGATTGAAAATAGTGACTTGACCTCTAAGTAGAACTCCTTCCTCCCAAAAAATATTTGGCTTAAGTGTCAAAAAACTAGAGGAAAACACTTAAAAGAATGTGGGGAACTGAGAAGCCCATTAGCTTTGTGCTTAACAGGTGTAATTGTTGCAGGACTATTTTCAGTGAGTTGTTTTTCCTTATGGCTTGAGAAGTTAAGTTGAGCATTGAGATTGTATATTGAAATTGTATATTTAAGGAACTTTAAGCATTGCTTTCCAGTTATTAAAGGTAAATTTTTTACCACAGTCTGGGAAGATATTTTAAGTGAAAGAACAGTGTATTTATTAGTCATGAGAAATTGGCAATTAACTGGGAGTAGCACAAGAGGCCTTGTTGCAGGCCATACAAAAGGCTGCTCTTTCAGAGGTGACACAGGACTGTTCTAATGCAGTTGGAGTTAAAGAACGTGTGCCAACAAACACTGTTTCAGTACTTGTTTTTCTCTTTTGTTTCCATGTGAACTTCAGCTTTAGGATGCTCCTTCTATCACAGTTGATCTTTGTTTTTCAGTGAGACTTTGAGTCTGCCTCAGGTTTGCCCTCAGCTTTTTAAGGGCTATTGGTATGTTAGTGAAATTGGATGTGAGAGTCAAAGCATAAGGAAAAAGATGAGAAGCTGAATATTATGTGGCTAAATCATACATAAAGCTACTTCCTGATACTGATTGGCAGTGGACATTAATGACAAGTAACAACACTGCCCATCTGTGGCTTAGTGTGAGATGATGCCAATAAGAAATGAAGCCACCAGCTGTTGTCTAGCAGGTGATAAAAATCATATCAATATTAAGGACAGATTTTTCCTCTTTCATGGATGGATATGCCTACAGCTGTGTTCAGAAGCTGTGATCACACTTCTGTCAAGTACTTTTCTGATCTGTTAGTTCCTGTTCTGGTCAGTGTTCACTGCTGCTGATGCAGCTGTTGTTAAACTTGTCTGAATCCTGGCTCTGTATTCTAATCTAACTTTCAATTTTCTTTCTAGTTCTAAGAAATGGGATGTGGCAGAACATTATGTGGAAAGAGGTAAATAAGATTTGGGATGGGAGGGAGTGGAAGAAGGTGTTAGAGAATTACTCTTGCAGAAATAAATTTAGAGGCCTAGAATTAATGTGTACTGTGGGGATTCCCTGTGACTTGGGCTGGGAGGGATCCTTTCTGTTGCAATAGTAAAAAATGCTCACAGCAAGGCACTGGAGTGCCCATCTTTAAATCTTAGTATGTGTTTTTGCTTGGACAGTTAATATGTTCCAGAGTGTAAGCAGCATTTTGATTTCAGTCCAGGTCTAGAAGAGTAGCTTTCACTGCAATGCTGTATTTCCCCTGAATATCTAACAGACTTATTTTGCTATATGTGCTAAAAGGTTCTCAGGTTTTGAGGCTAATTTAGGTAGCTGCCTGCTCAGGTAAGGAATACAAGCCCTATTGCTACCTCAGGACCTGTGTTATGTGAAGGATCTGGTGAGCTTTATTTCTAGAACTTGCTGAAAACCTTCCAGATGTGTTGATCTAGTCATGGCTCTTAATTCCTTTTTAAGGACCAAATTAGCCCTGTTAAATAATAAATGAGGAAAAAATGCAGCCTTTCAAAACCTAGGAAATGAGACCCACCTCAAGAGACCTAAAAACAATCCTGCTCAAGTGTTAGGTTGCAGTAGAAACAAAAGATTGCCAGGGACTTAGAAGGCTGATGTCTTTTAATGCTGTTCTATGTCCTATTTCTAGTTAGCACACTGAATTGAAAGATGTTCCAAGCTGGGCCTGGAGTCTGTTATACTTACACCCTTAAGCACTTCTTGGACTGGCCTATGGCTGTATCTGCACATTGTCCAGGATTGCATTTACTGTTAGGGAGTAGCAGTTTTGTACTATTTACCTTTTTTACCTTAAGGCAAGCTTCTATCATTTTTGTGCTGAAATTGGTAGGGAGTTTGTTTTCAGTAGGATGGGAGTAAGACTAATGTCTGTTTAAATATGCCATCTGTTTCAGTTTTAATGAACTAATGTGTTAAACCCATTTCAGACTCTGAGCAGTGCATTGGTGCTAAGCAGTCTGATACACAAGCAACCCTGACTTAGTGTATGCTACTTGGTCCTTAGAATGAAAGTCCCCATGCACATGTGACTCCATTAAAGGTGCTGGAAACTCCTAGGTATTGAAACAGTGAAATGGCAGCATTCCAGAAATCTACTCAGCTGAGATGCACTGTCTTCAGGTCAGGCAAGGGCTGGCTGATATGATCTGTAGAGGCAAGACTCCTTGCTAGTGACTAGTACAAGAAGTACATCTAAAGAGGGCTCAGGGAAAGTCAGTGGTGACTGGGTAGGTAGATAAGATGGAGAAGGAACAGGAGAAACTCTTGATAATTCAGGAAGGTATAGTTAAAGCTAACCTTTCTGCTAGGTTACATAAGACTAAAGGAAAAAAAAAACTCAAATATGGATAATGGTCACAAAAGTTCACACTTTCTAATTGAGCATATCTTTTTTTTTTTCTATAGAGAATTGCTTACTTTGCCTCCAGAAAAGGGAAGGCTTTGCTTCCAGGCTTGCAGTGAAAAATACTGACTTTCAGAAGCACTGTCTCTGGCTATTCTGTGCATGATGCTGTTCTTTTGACTGGATGAAAGAAAATAACAAACTAACATTCCAGACAAGCCAACTGTTTGTTTTTCTTTTGCATGTTACTGTACTCCTGCCCCTGACTCAACAGGTAGCAGTAGGCGATATTGTGAAGGTCACCAATGGGCAACATCTTCCAGCAGACATGATCATTATATCTTCCAGGTATCCAGAATGGGTGTGGAAATGATATGTCTGATGAACTGAGGTGCAGAGGATTTGAAACTCTGTATTTGCAATTAATAAGCAGACATCAGATGGCACTAATCCTTCTCCACATCTACAGTCAAATATCCATGTCAAAATAGTCCTTTACTAGGCAGTAATTCCTATATCAGAGTAGATAGTTCTTAAGGGAGGCTTCTTGAAGACCTCATAGTATTGTGTACCTGTATTTCACGTAGTGTATCATTGAATTTGTTACAAGACTGAAGGTCTCTCACACAAGCTTCATGCAGTCAGTTGCTCTGGCCTTCTGAGGATTCCCCTGTTTAACTAAGGAAGCCTAAGTTTTCTTCTGGTTCCACTGAGTTTCTAGCATGTTTTCCTGCTCCTCAGGAAAGATTTTTTTCAGACAGTAAGTATAAAATGTCATCCCAGCTGACATCTAATATCTAGCCTGCAAAGTAGCTTTTGGCTTCATTTGTTTGCTCCTTGTCTGTGCTACAGCACATGTATAGCCTGGCCCCAGCATGGCAGCAGCAGTAAACTGAGTCCTTGTAGTTTGTGAAATATGGGACAACTTTTTTATATGGATACAGTGGCAAACAAAGCTTGGTGGTTTGTTCCTAGAAGCATTTGGGTGATGCTTGGCTGCTAATCTAGATTCTATATTACGTTGAGCAACTTGAGGCCAAATCAAGACTGCTGTCCCTTTGGATAGATAGGATTTAAACAAGAGACACAGTTCCTGTTGTTGAACATGCACTTTTCCCACCCTCTAATATCCAAACCTTATTCTTCTCCATCACTTCCTTCTGTCTGCATGCTTTTCAACAGCAACTGCATTTTGCTCTGCTCTCCAGGCTACAGTTATCTTAGATGACCCAACTTCTAAGGGAACTTGTTTTCAGAACTACTGCACTTTCTGTTCCACACCTCTTGTGTGTGGCAAAAAAAAGCTTTCTTTTTTTTATAGCTGTATGGGGGAACCTCAGTCTTTTTGAGTTGTCATGTGACCAAGAATAGAGGTAAATTCATTCCATGATATACAACATTGTTTCTTTAAAACAGATTTTTAATAAGCAGCTGTTGACCTTAGGTAGTTAGGCTACACTTTGACATCAGTGACTTGTCTCATTGAGGAAATGTCTTCTACTTGTGAACTTCTCCTCTAATGTGTTATACTAGAAGCCTTTCCCATTTATTTCTTAACTTGTGTGGGTCAGCTTTTTTTTCTACATGTCTCATTGGGGAAATGTCTTCTACTTGAGAACTTCTCCTCTGTGTTATACTAGAAGCCTTTCCCATTTATTTCTTAACTTGTGTGGGTCAGCTTTTTTTTCTACATTATTCTACTAACATACTGTCACTGATAATCACATAACTGGAGAATTTAACCTGAAGTGTGTTGATTTGGGAGAAGCTTTGCTTGAAGTAAATAGGAATTTCTATGGCAGTTCTGCTTTACAATTGGTATTACTCCCATGATTCTTTTAAATGACAATACTAAGTATCCTCAGTTCACCAGAAGGCTTTGCATGCTCTCAAGGTGTGGGGTCTTTTGCTTGTATGTGTTACTTTTCTGTGTCTGACTGTCAGAGCTGAAATGAGCAGTTTTTATTATATTGACTCTTTTTTTCCCCCCACAGAAGAAAGGTGACATCAAATGAATTTTGTTACACAGAATAAATTTACACAAAGGGAAAAAATACTTCAATCCAAACACAAGTTTTGATGAAAACACTTCCATGTTTCTCTTTAAATGAGATGAATTGTATTGCAGATTTCCCTCCTGAGTTTACTACTTCAGTTGTAGTAGATAAGGTGTTTGTGGGAGAAGTAAAATTGGAATCAAGATGGACTTTGTCTGTCTTGGGTTTAGATTCAGGTTGCCCATATAGGAGAAGACAAAGAGCAGACTCTGAACTCCTTTTTGTTCTTATTTTTTAAAGAAAAATTCTTTGGAAAGGAAAATGTAGCTTCTTAGTGTTCTAGAACTGTACCTGTCTGTGTAACAGTTTTTGTCCTAAGGAGCCCTTATTACTGACTCTTCTGCTGATGAAGTACATTTGCTGTTGAAGTAATTGGTTAATTTGGAAAAGTAGAAACATCTCAAGAATATAAGAAGTGAAATGCTGAAAAAGCACTTGAGTCCATTTGGGAAACTGATTTACCTTAGCAGTATGGGAAGACAGTCAGGAAAAACTAGTATTGGTGATGTCATACATGTTTTCAGTCTTAAGGGGCATGTCAGGAAAAGATCCAGGATAGAAGTGTGCCCTTCCTTATCACAGGTGCTACTTATTCAGTGTTCCTCTGTGTTAGATGCAGATAAGAGCTTGAGTAATGGAAAATTCAGTTTGGTGAGGAAGACTTGCCCCCTGTGTTAAGTGCAGAAGCATCTCCAGAAGATGCAGATTACAGCCCTCAATTCCAACCTCATTGTACCTTTGTCTAATTCTGAAAAAGCTGGTTAGCAGTGACTTCAGATGTACCTCCACAAGTCCCTCAACTTTAAACCGATCTTGGCCATGACCTTTTGTGTGTGTAGTTGACAGAGCTCAACAGCAGAGCCCACTACACTCTTCAAGCACATCCTCTTTTTATACTGCTCGGTACTTAGTATTTTATCTATAGCTCTTGCAGTCTGAAGCAGTTCTATGGATTGCAATGTAAAATAGTCCAGACATGTAAGTTTACCATTACTTGTTACATTCTTGTTAAGCTTCTGATTTAGACTTGTCTGTCTCTAGTTGTATGAGTATTCCTATTCAAAGACATCTCTGTAAAATATGTACTTTCAGCTGCCTCATTCATGGTAATATACCACGAGTATGGATGTCTGTATTCTGCCATGTACTGAAGGGTATTGTGGACCATTTTTAGTGCAAAAGTAGTATACAAAAAATACTGAGTTGTAATAGAGGAAATCTTATGCTCCCTACAGTGAACCACAAGCCATGTGCTATATTGAAACAGCGAATCTCGATGGGGAGACGAATCTTAAAATACGACAGGTAAAACAAAGTGAATTTTGCATTTTCTTTTTTTTTATTGAGGCATATAATACTAACTAAAAAGTAGAATTTAGCTTTGCATGTCGAGAGTAAAAGTATTCCTTTAAAAAAAAAAAAGTACCTCTTTGCAGGTGGCTGTAAGCTGGCTTTTCAACAGATAGAAACCCAAGCAGTAGTGCTTTATGTGCAAGTGTAAGGAACTAATCTGGAGGAAGTATTATAAGCCCCCAAAGACAAATCAAGTGGACCCTGTCTGTGTTTTGCTGAAGGTCCAGTAAGTAGAACTGAAGTGCTGTTTTGAAAACAAGCAAAAAACCAGCTGTGCTTGTGATGAGAGCTGTAGTGTTTGCTGTTACAAGTGCTGTCTACTTCTGCTTCTTTGGAGTGCTCAAAAGGGCTCAAGTTCTGTTTGTGGGAAGTAATGGAATTTATTTAGATCTTTCTGGTTCTGTTGAGGAAATACTGCTCATTATGGTGTTTGGAAAATAGTTCAGTATCTCTGCTTTCTTTTGTTAACAAAGAATTTGGAGTAGAATTTTGAAATACACTTTTTTTTTTTACTAAGAAAAACATACACTTGCTTCTTGTTTGCTGCCTTTGTAGAAGTGTGACTTACTGTTCTGGATCATCCCAGTAGAACAGATAGAGTTCTTGTCAGACTTGATTTGCTTCAGGACAGGTGATTAGTATACAGAAATAAGGTTGTGGGGCCTTTTAAGGCCTTGTTTTGGTTTGCAGTGCTGTGGTCAAAATCTGGCAAAAGAAACACTAAATAGAGCACTTAACCAAGTGAAGGTGTGCTTAGACAGATGAAGAGCAATGGAGCATTGTATGTGCACTCTGAGATGGAGTAAAAATGTTAGGTTACAGTTGCATGATGGGTTGATAATTAACCTTGAGTAGGGTCAGATTGTAATGGTGGCAGTGACCCAGGAGTGACTATTTAGCAGCAGTAGCACATCAGTGGAGCTACACGTGGAGAGAAAAGCCAGGCTTGTTCATACTGCTTGTTTCCTACTTCCTCCTGCATGTGTACAACTTCATTCTTTGTCTGTGGGACCTTCCTCTTGGTTACAGAGACAACAGACTTGTATTATCTGTGTGAGGTATAGAGAGGTTTAAGCTAATCCTATATAAGTGGGGTCATGGATATCTATAATGAGCCTTCCTTGCAGGAAAGAGTTATTGAACACCTATTAAAAAAAAAAAAAGTCTTGCAGGAAAGAGTTACTGAACACCTATAAAAAAAAAAGTCCAACCCAAAACAAACAACCCACCAGGAAACCTGACAGAAAACTTCCACAAACTTAATTACGTTTGCTATCTTAGATGTCAGAAGAAAACAGTTTTCATAGGTTTCCTTCTGAAAGGTTTTTGACATGAATCTCCTTTTGAATTCGTTTCTGCAGGGATTGTCTCAAACCGCTAGTCTTCAGTCAAGAGAAGAGTTGATGAAAGTAACTGGAAGGATAGAATGTGAAGGACCCAACCGCCATCTTTATGACTTCACTGGAAACTTACGCTTAGATGGTCAAAGGTATTGACTTGACAACCAAGTTATAAATTCATTTGTTGAGGAAAAATGCTCCTTGTGTGCTCTTAGTCTGCAGCTCTCAGCACATGCATGTTTTTGCTGTGGAAGGTAAGGGTAATAATTAACAGTTGTTAATCAGAGCATCTGCCACTGTAAGATAATATAGCTCTCTTCTGTGGAGACTTCTACTTGTTATGGGAGAGCTGATTTCTTTGGAATTATTACTTTTTTTTAATCAAAAGTAGCATCTAAAGGGAAGGAAAATGGGGAAAATTATTGGAGGGTTTAGGGCCTTCTTGTTACAAGGACATATAGAGAGGAAGTGGGAAACCTTTACCTTCTAACCAAAGCTAAAGGCTGCACCAAAATCAGGTGGTTGATGTAAGTGAACCTACAGTCCAGATCATTTATCAGAGTGAGCTTCATGTCTTACAAATCTCGGGGGGGAAAAAAAAAATGTGGTTTTAGTACTTGAATTCAGACAACTTGAAAGGTCAGTAGGAACATACAGGTTTAATCTGGCTTTTGTTTTCCTGAACAAACTGTCCTGCTTCAGCACCTCAGCTGAATGGTGACAGATGCAGGAACAGTAGCTGATCACTTGCAATCAACTTGAAAAAATCACATGGGTGATACAGATTTCTCACTGTACTTGTTTAATGGCACACATGAGATTATAGTGTGCTGGGAACAGATGGTCTCTTTGCAAGTGTGGTACTTCTCTCTCTCATTGATGTGAGACAGAATGTACTAGCCAAGGTGAAGTGCAGAGCAGGTTTATGGCTGCCACAAATTTGGGTAACAAGAGCAGTTCCCTTGTATCACCTTGTGTTTTAGCAGGAATTAAGTTTACAGAGGCTCAGTGCTCTCCTGAGTTGTGGTCAGTGTAAGTTCATTATTACTTTCTTCCCTTTGAGGTTTGGGGTGGGGTTTCTTGAGGAGGGAGTAAAACTGGAAGGAGAACTGCTTTCTTCCAGTGTTACCAAGAATTTAAAGATATTCATACTTCTTGCTTTGCAGCCCAGTTCCTGTTGGTCCAGACCAGATCTTGCTAAGAGGTGCACAACTGAGAAACACTCAGTGGGTCCTGGGTATTGTTGTGTATACAGGACATGATACAAAACTCATGCAGGTAAAGCTTTTAAGGAGATCTAGAGAATGTTATGATAGAAGCTGGTCATCTTTCCTTCATTCTGCTTGTTTTCTGGACTTGATTTCATGAAATGGTTTAACTCATTGTAGCTGTTGAGGACCTGGAAACCTTGAATACAGGTGTACTCTTGCACTTGAGATTGTATGTGCACATGTGTAAATGCTTACTGAGGTATTTGTACCAAAGCACTTCAGTATGTAAGTAAAACTAACTATATTTTATCTTAACTTAGCTGGTAGCTAGACAGCTTTTAAAACTGAGGTATAACAGCTGAGATGATAGTGACCACCTACAATTTTAGGACTTGAGGATAATTAGGTTATAACTGCAGTCTCTGTATTGCCTTAATGGCAGGGAGTACCTGAAGAGACTGGCAACATGCATGTGTTGCTCACCTCTGTGACTGTCAGTGTGATAGACAGCCAGGAGATGAGTGTACTAGGTCTTTAGAACTGCATGGTTCTATTCCTCTGATCTGACAGTTTTCAAGTCATTGGGAGCATTGGTTTCTACTACCTTGTTGAGCTTTGCATACCATATTGAACTAAATAGACATGAACTAGTGAGTTCTATAATGGACTCAATAACTTTTAACAATAAAAGCTGTGTTTGCCTCTGCAGTTTCCTCTTGTATAAGCTGTTGACATTTTTTTTTTTTTTTCCCTTGTTCAGAATTCAACCAAAGCACCTCTGAAGAGATCAAATGTGGAGAAAGTGACCAACATGCAGATCCTGGTTTTGTTCTGTATACTCCTCGTGATGGCCCTTGTGAGTTCTGTGGGTGCCTTATTATGGAACAGAACACATGGAGAAGTTGTCTGGTACCTTGGCTCCAACAGTGAGTATGGAGGCAGTGGGCTAGGGATGTATTGCATGGTAGAGCCAGCAAGGCTTTTAACTTTGCTAAATGAATGCATAAAAAAAAAAAACACACAAGAAAAGCGTGTTGTGAGCTTTTTGATCAGCAAATATTTATCTTTTGAGAATGGGCTGATGTAAGTTGAACTTGTCAGTGAGGCTTCTGTTAATAAAACATAAAAGGTGGGTAAGTATCAGTAGGCTACCAGCTGGGGAGTGGGACAGAAACAGAAGAGGGGCAAGAGTTATTCCTGGATACTTGATGTTTAAGTACTTCTCAGCTCTGTGGAGATGCCATGTGTGAATTGGTTTTCAGAGCAGGTAGGTACTGCTGCCCTTCTCTTCATGTCTGACGGTACCCGAGGGCAGGATAGTAGCTATCAGTTTGATACTGACTTCACCTTTATGCCAATGTAGAGAAGCAAAGGATTTCTTTAGCTGTTTCCTTTGTCAGAAATGCTGATCTGTTCTTTGTGGAGAAAACTGTTCAATGCTAAATGCTCCAATCTTTTGTTTATTATATAATCTTTCAGTCTTTCTGGCTTCTGATTCTTGCTGTTTTGCAATGAGAAAATTGATCACTCATTCTTATGGAAAGGTTTTATTTTGTTTCATTCACACTCCTTGAATTAGTTCAGGTATCAAAGATGGACCTTACCCAAGCACATAAGGATCAAAGTGCTCTCCAGTAGACTTCCGACTTGAGGGGGTTACATTAGCTAGCTGTAAAATGTGTTGTTATAAACATCTTGAGATGCAGATCTGAAAACAATCCTCACAAACTGCAAATGGTCTTTCTGCTGGTGATTGCAAAACAGATGGCAAAGGGAGTCTTTTGCAGCTCAAGAGCTGCAGTTGTGATAGTGCTAAAAATTAATTCATATGGGAAGAACATGCAAGCCCCTCATATTTGACTCTGGTTCTTGGTAGTTGTGGTGTCTCTAGTAGCAGTATCAGCAGCTTTCAAAGTTTGCTCTGTACACTTCTGGCTTTTAATGAAGAGATTTAAATCTGTGCTTTCCAATGATGGAAGTAATACTGGAAAAGATGAATGGAGAAGACTCTTCCACTTGCACTAACATAAATCAGATGCAACTTGCAATAAACTAAATTGATGTAGTAGTCTGTGTAGATGCTGTTTTGTGCATTGAATGCACAATTTCTATTGCTTCTGTAATGGCTGCAAATGGGAAATACACTTTCTGAGGCTAGGCAGGTGGATGTTAAATTTTTGTTAAATGTGTAATTTCTATAATATTGGAGAAAAACCCTTTTTCCAATATGAGGTGTGCTTCTCTTTCTGTAAACTGATCAGATATGGGGTTCATGTGTGCTCACACTTGGAGGTGTCTGGGTCCAAACTTCAAGTCTTCATTAGGCTTCAGCAACTTGCTTTGGTTTCCTCCTAGTTTGCTCTCTACCTTCTTACTAGCTAACCTGTAATGCTGGAAAACCCTTGGTTGTGGGCCCTGACCCCACTGTGAGTGCTCTTCATGCAGGCTGAATTGCTTCCCTAAGCTTCAAGGAAAGTAAGGAACAGACAAATGGGGAGGCTTTGGATGTAAATGGAGGCTGTGGGCAGCACCATGAACAGGAGCCTTCATCCTGTGTTGCTGCTGAGTCTTGTCTAGTCCTTCCTGCTGTCTGTAAATACTTCCCCTTCCCTTCAGGATCACTTGTGCTGGCAGATTTACTTGGGCAACTTACCCAACATTCTCACCATTAATAATGGCTCTTCTGCCTAAGCAGGATGCCTTAGTTAACTTGCTAGATGTCTGTTTAGCAGTCAACTTGTTCTTAGGTTTTAGTGTAACTTCTGAATTCTGCCAGTTCTGGGAGTTCTTAAAACAAATCATACTCCTAATTTTATTTTCTAACTCTGCTGAGACAGGTGGGCACTTTCTGGAAGGTCAGGTTATGTTACTAGTGATATTAGTGACTCTTAACTGGAGCAGTTGACACATTAGATAAATCTCTAAATATGGGTTATAGTGTGGAATATCATACTTCTCACCATCTGTTTAGCAAAAATTGTTCAGAAAGTCTGCCTTTCTCTAATACACAGCCCCACCATTCTTGCCCTTCTTGACCTGGCATAATATGCTTTGTATCCAGGCATGTGTTTTGTGGGCGTTTTTATGTATGTGCTATTGAAATCAATATTAAAAAGGCTCTCATACTAGGCCTCAGCACACTTGCTGATTATTTTAGCACTGCTAAGACTGATTTAAGCTAATTGCAGCAAGATAATTGCCCCTGTATTGTACCACTGTGCCTTCTGTCTGATGTCTTGCATCTTTTGGTCCACAGAAATGCTGTCTGTCAACTTTGGATACAATCTGCTGACATTTATAATCTTGTACAACAACCTTATTCCAATCAGTCTTCTGGTGACATTGGAAGTTGTCAAGTTTACTCAGGCTCTTTTTATAAATTGGGTAAGTAACAATAAATGTGTTAATGTCAGTTTTGGGAAGTGACATTAAAAAAGGCCAGACAATACCCTTAAAGTCTTTACTGATTTACTTTTCTGATGACTTCTCTGATGCAACTTCTGTGAAAGGCAAGGAGAAGTTCAGAGGATTTTTTTTTCTGTATTAGTTCTGTTGTCCACAGGAGACTGGAAGATGTTGCAGGAAGATCCTGTGTGCAAATGATCACCCTTGCATGTTTTAGGCTTTCAAGATGAGAAGGGAGACTGTGCTTTTGGTTGAAGGAGGTCTCTCAGCTGACTTAAGTTCAGTAAATACTTTTTGAAAACTTCAGTACCTATTAGCTTCTCTCAGTCACAGCAGATTGAAAGAATAGACTTGTTTAGGAATTTTAGAGTTTTATTTTTTTAAAATCTGAGGCTGGTCTTAAGGTCACCTCTGGTATGAATCATTTCTGTGAGGAGGTAAGTTTGATTGTGCTTCATGCAACAAAACGGTGGTCCTTCTGCTCAAGCAAGCTCTGACTTCAAAGCTCGTTTCTGTTCAGTTGTGGACCAGAAATATACTGTAGTGATGTCTCCAGATGAACAAAACAACAAGTAATACCTTGTCTTGGCATGCATTAATCCTTGGGCTTTTAGTGATCTTGTGGTGGTTCCTCTAAAATAGAATTAAATAAGATCTGACTTGTTTGTTCTCTGAGCTGCTGATAATGTACCAAAGATGCTAAACTAGCTTGTCTGAGAAATTGCTTTGGTTCACCTGGCAGCTGCTCTGTTTACACTCCAAATTAAGTGTAGTAATAGAAGTTGATTTCACAAAGTCACTTAAATTGAAGGGACAATTATGGATGTGGCTAGAGTAAATTGCATTGTAACTGAAGACCTGTGATTAGCATGTTAAAGCTTCTTCCTGCCCTACAAAGCTCTTCAGTAGAGATGCAATGAAGACAATAATTGCCTAAAATTGAAACTTGGTTTTCTCATGTAGTATGGAGGTGTACTTAGGAAAGGAGGCACATTTATTTGGCCTGGGATGCTGTTTGTCTCAGACTTTCAGAACCTCCACCAAGTTAAGTCAAAGCCAAGCTGGAGCTGAGTAAAGGAAGACCAGACTTCAGTGTTAAATTTGCATAGTGTAGGTCTAATTTTGCTCTCATTTCAGGACATAGATATGTATTATCCTGAAACAGATACACCTGCAATGGCCAGAACCTCAAACCTTAATGAGGAGCTTGGGCAGGTAAGACAACGTTTCAAGTGTTGTGTTTGTGAGATGTTCTGGGAAGACAGGAGGTATGAGAGCAGGCTGTGTGAATCTGCTTTACTCTATGCTCTGTGGCTCAGGTTAACCAGACATCTTTGCTTCTGTTCAAGTCTTGCAAGTAAAACAGTGAATTATCACAGGATTAAAGTCAAGGTCATATAGGCAGTTTTAAGCCTGGAAATTTGAGGTTTTATTTATGATGACTCTAAACTGTTTTTTTAACTCAAGGGTCTTGGAGAGATGCTCTGTTTATGACTGTGTGACAGGAGGAAACGTGCAAGACAAAGCTTGCCTGAAGAGCAGGCCAATAGCCTGTCTGTGTTCATAGGTTTTCATGTTTCTGACCACCTCATAGGAAATGCAAGTCCAAAAAATGCACTTCTATTCCTAATTTGGAGTGTTCCTCCAAACATTTCCATTTGCTTTTAAGATAAAGATATCTGTATATTAACTTGTAATTGTAATTGTAAGAGATTTGTTGGCGTTTCTGAAAAATGAGGCTTTAAAAAATGGAACAGCTTCCCAAAACAAGGTTATTAGAAAACACAACTTCACAACTGGACTTCCATAGTACCAGTGAGAAATGCTACCTTTTTTTTTGACAACCAAAGTCATAGGTATATAACTGAGCCACATAAACTTGATAATTGGTGTGAATTTACCATTGGAGATGTTTATATATGCGAGATACATGTTTACTGTGTGCTGGCCAGCAGGGTGTTAGTATTCTTCCCACTTAATCTGGTAGGCCTTTTCCTTAGGACTGTTAAAATTTGATTAGTATTTAGATTGTTTTGATGTCAAGTTATCCACCTCTAAATTATAGTTTGGCCATGTAAACTACATTGTGGCATAATTATATATTGTTGGCCCATTATATTGTTTTCAGAAATGGCTTACCAGTGATTTGACTTGACTGTGGTTTTGTATTCATCAATTGAATTACTTGCTCATGAATTACGTGCATTTAAAAAAGTTGTATGCTAGAATTATTGACTTGAAGTTCCTCAGATGTTTGGGTACTGAGTTGCACAGGCTCCATTTCCAGTGCTGTTACTTAGAAGCAGTGTAGTGCACAGCTGAGGGATCACTTTACTAGTAGTGTAGCCCACTGTTTTGAACAGAAATGCAAATATTGAAGAAAAGCTTGTTGCAGTTCTAGGTAAATTATTCTGGCCTTTGAATTGGCCAACTCCTGTGTTAGCATCATCCCTTCCTGCCTGTTGGTGGTTTAAAATTTTATTTGGTGCTGAGGTAAAACACTGTTGAATTTAGCTTATAATTAACTTTGGTCTCTTGAGGCCTACTGAAGGTGGGAATCTTGAGTCTGCTAATGCTCCAAGTAATCACATAGCTATGTTGCAGCTAAAACTTCCAGCTAAGACTACTTCAAGTCTCTACTTGCCAGTAAGGGATTATTAGCTTGGGCTGTGCTGACTCTGTGGCTGTGTCTTACTCTTTAGGATTGCTCTTGACTGGATGCTAGAAAAAGCAGCTCATGTTTGCCTCCAGAATATCTCTTGGACTTAGTCTAGGATATTCATTGCATAGCACTGTGTATTAAGGGGCGGGGGGGGAAATTCCAAAGTCCTGGTAGAATTTTAGAAGATGGAATTTCTTCAGTGTTAAGTTCTAATGTCTCTTCAACAGTCCTAAGAATCTTTCATTTCCAGTCTTGTAGTTTGATGTTAATATAGTTGAAAGATTTGGTGAATATTCAAATAACAGAAACAAGTGCATCTGTATTAATTGCACTGGAGCCTTGGCACCTTCTTTGCCACCTTGTTGACACCTTTTGAGCCTGTCTGCATTTAGAGTTAAAGGAGAAATAATGCCATTAAGTAACTTTCCTGGTTATGTTCTTGTAGCTTTGGTAAGACGAAGATGAAATAAGCCTACATTGGCCAATGTTGTGACATTTGAGCCATAGATCTTCCAGAATTTTCATGATACTTAATCCGTTTCCCATTTTGGGCTTTGTTACTTTGCAAGTTGAAAACCAGACTTTTTTTTTTCCAGGTGAAATACCTGTTTTCTGATAAAACAGGTACTTTGACATGCAATATCATGAACTTTAAGAAGTGTAGTATTGCTGGAGTGACGTACGGGTAGGTATGACTTTTTTAGAGACTCTGTAGGTGAAGTGCATGGTACATACTCTGTATGAGAGTAGGATTAGAACATCCTGTTGTTCAGTTGTATTCTAGTGTATTTTGTGGTCTCAGTAGCCTTCATTTTCATGTCCTGCAGCACAAATTTTGAAGTAAAAACCTGGGGAGTACGTCATGTGAAGAAAGCTTCCTTCCTAACTTACCTGATTATGATTTCAGCTTAACCAGAAGTGCTAAATGACCTCTGGCCTTCCCAGAGGAAAGAAGACGCACCCAAGGGCTAGAAATTGTCAGTTATGTTTCTGTGACTTCTTTAGATGAACCAGAATTCCATTACAACTATACAGCTGTAATTGTAGTTGTAGAGCTAAATACTCCAGGAGAGTATTTGTATAGGAATATTACCTGGGATGGATACCCACTTAGTGTTTTTGTTCTGTTTCTGTCAAAAGGATCCTTCTGAATCATGCCAGTATTTCACAGCACTTGGTAGTTTGATTCTTGAATATAGAATCTTGGTCTTTGCTTAGTTTTAAATGGGTAGTCTTAAGATCTCTGTGCAATTTACCTTTGAATTTCATGGTAGCTAAATTAGATACTTCAAAATGCTGAAAATTTGATTCAAATGTATGAACAGCTGAACTTATGGTTTCAGCATATGTGTGTGATGACTCATGGGTCTTTACTTTCTACCTATTTCTGCATTTGCAAAGTGGAATAAACATTATTTCTTTTTCCTACCCCTCAGTCACTTTCCTGAGCTGCAAAGAGAACGCTCATCAGAAGACTTCAGGTAAGTATATTGTAAGATGTTTGTGTTCTGTATAGCAGAGTGGGGACAGCTTGTATAAAGACTGCTTTCTAATTTGGGACTGAAAGAAGCCCCAGGGAGTGGTGTGCTTCAGCAGGCGTTGAATGCAAAGCTGGTAGGTGGTGATGGATGTTCTGTGTAGGGGTGGTGGGTGATGGTGGGTGGAGGATTGGCAGTGGCTGGGGTGGTGTGATTGCATGCTAATGCAGTGCTTATTTATAATTACAAACAACCAAATTACAAGCTAAGAGTAACCTTCTTCACAGTAACCTTACCTCTAGCTCTTTCAACTTAGTGATAGCAAACTTGATAAGGAGAAGAAAAGTAACTTCTGTGAAACTGCAATGTTTTTATAGTTATTCTTGGAAGGAGCTTGATATGAAGGTGTCTCACATCAAGAGAACCACTCCTCTTTATTAAGAAATTTAATGAGTAGAGGCAATGGGTCTGTCCCATTCTACAGAAAGGAAATTGTTAAATCTGAAGTTAGGCAGGTGTCACTGTAGCATATCCAGATGAAAAGAAAGGAGGGAAAAGCCAGAGAGAGCTTATGTGGTTTTGCCAAATGCAAGTAGGAAGCGAATTCCCATCCGAGGAACATGCAGACACCAAATGCTGTTAGCCACTTTCTGGTGAACTAAGGCTTCTCTGTTGGTCTACCTCGTGATCACCTTTTAGAAAGGTGATATAAATGGGATGTTGCTACTTTGATAATGATTTCTATGGATGCCCCTATTTCTCCAATACGTTGCTGTCTCCTTCATTGCCATATTGTTTTTTTCTCCTAGTATGCTTCTTTTCTAGTCAGTTATGTCAAGGATTTTCTTCCAGGTACTAATTAGGAATACTTAGGTACTCAATCTCTTGGGAATCAACTTGAAGCAGAACTCGCTGACTAGAGAGGGAGCTCAGGGATGTTGATCTTTGACCTAATGTTGATTTTTGACCTAACTTAGAAGCAAGTCAGCTTGGAATCAATATATTTCAAATGCACTGAAGAGCTGCTCCTGCTACATTTTTCCTAGGGAGTGTGTTGACACTTTAATATTCTCAAATACACTTTTAAGCCTAACCATTTCTGGGTGTTTTGCTGGTGTTCTGGAGAAACTATTGCTCATTTTCAACATTTTGTGCATTACTTGTATGGTATCTTCATAAGGCTTTCAAAGACAGTGGAATCTTGCTTTCGTTTGCCATTGCTTCCCAACAAAATAGATGTAGTAAGATTGGAAGTATTGCCACTTAGGTTTTAATATCTCGTGTTGCTCTACAGCCAGCTACCTCCTTCCACCAGTGAATCATGTGAGTTTGATGACCCAAGACTGCTGCAAAACATTGAAAATAAACATGTAAGTCTACTCTTTACATACCTTCTCTTCAACACCCTATTCTAAGCCTCTCTGGAGTTGAATACTGAACAAATGTACATGCATGATCAGATCTGCTCCACAGGTGTCTTGGAAGCACAGGTTGGGGAGCAAGGAAACAAGATAGCTCCCCAAACCCCTTTCTCTGCACTTGTTGCTTTAATTTAGTAGAAAGACAATGTCACTGGTATGGGTACCAGCTAGCTATAAAACAGCTTTTATGTGTTTGTGTTTGTGGAAGATAGTGTCTTCTAGAAAATGATGCTGGAAATTGCTGTTTTAAAAAATCTATTTTAACATTATGGATGTTTGAACACTACAATAATTTTTTCTTTTTAAGAGTAATCCAGAGCATTACAAGGTGGTTCTAGTGTGACACCTGCTTTAAATACTGCAGATATTGGGAATTTCAATTCTGTAAAGAATGTAAGAGATGGGACTTAATAGCAAGCTTAAGCTTAGACAGAGACTTAGTGATTTGTAATCTTAGCCTAACTGGTATATCCTAAAGAAGCCAAGTCCTTAGTGTCAGTTCACTGCTTATTCAGAAACTGTGGCTATGAAGTGTCTGGACACCAGGTGATTAAATCACTGGTGAAAAACCATGGTACTTGTGTTCTGCAGGAGCTATTTCACAGTGGGGGATGTGGGTATTGACAAGCACAAGCTCAAATGACACACTCAGTAAGCTCATTGCTCTCCTTCAGTATAGCTTCTGCAATAGCTTCTGTAGTTGGGCTGGTTAAGTTTAGTATGAGCATCTAAAATGTAGTTAAACATACTGTTTCTGTGCAGCAAAGCTTGAGCTTCTTTTTTGCTTTTTGGTACTTAAGGAGTTGAAATGCAGCACAGTGTAAATCCGTGAAGGAATATTTAAGTACTTTGCCACTATATATTCCTCAGATTGATAGAGCCTGAAGATGACTCTTGCACTCTAAACTTCAGGATGTTGGCCCTGCCAAGGCAGTGTACTGCTTTTCTCTATCTTTTGTAATCAACCACACTGGAAGGACTTCCCACTGCACATCATTTGCAGCCAAAATTTGGGTTCCCTCATGGTATTTGGTATTCTTTCTATATGTTTACATCTATGGCCATAGATATGACTCTAGGTGCTTGTTCTGAAAGGGAGGTGACTTGTTGTGGTGCAGCCTACAGGTAAAGTGTGATTGAGCTGTTGCTTTAGGCATCTCTACAGAAAAGTGCTTTGGTACCTTTTAATAGACTCGGCAGAAGGGACACGGATCAAACGGGCTGTGAGATGGGGTTTGTCATTCAGCCTTGAGATGGCTCCTTATCTTTGGGATATCCCTAATTCTTTGATCCTCTTTGGGTAGAGCTTCTGCTTTGGGAGGTAGGACTATTTCCTGTTGTAGCAAGTAAGTTAAGAATTTTGGTAGCTTCTTTAGGTGTCAGTCTAGACAGCTCAGAACTCTGTTCTTTGTGCTGAACTCCTCCTATCTATCAAGTTTCCTTTTGGCTGATAACTTGAAGAGATAAATACTGTTAATCAGCACAGCTGACTGTTGGGCTGAGCACACTGAACTCAGCCCTCGGTGTGTCAGAGGGGAAACTTCAGCTGATAAGACTTAAGGTGCACCTTGTGTATGCCAAATATCTTTTGGAGCCTGACTGTACTGGAAGGATGGATGCCAGTGGCTGACAGGTGGTGCTTTAGCACAAGATGAGTGCAGGGACCATGTGTGACAGTTTGCTTAGGAAATTCAGGTCCATTTGTCAAAGTGCATCAGTATGATGAGGGCTGAATTTCAGGGCATCAGAATGATGAGGGCAAGAGGGAAGAGTTGAGTGTTTCTAGCCCATTAGCTTTTTGCACTAGGTCAACTGCTAAGGTATGCACATTGCTTCCTTCTACATGAAACTCCTTAGTGTCTTAGTTTTCATAGCTAGTAGATGGCTGCAGATACCATTTACAGATGTCAGGCAACCTCTACTCATTTAGTGAACTGAGGTGATAAAACCGAAGTGTTCTATCACAAGCTGCCTTGTGGGGTCAGATACTGCTGAACTCAGCTGGGCAATGAATTCCCCTTAAACATTTGCCCTTTTGCAGCTGAACTTGTCAATGTTCTGTCTCTCACAAACACTCAATAAGTGCTTGTTACTCTGGTCTTGTAGGATTTTATTTTCCTCAGTCCAGTTGCAAGTGTTAGTTTAGAGCTGACTGAGTGCCAAGTAACTTTCCTTCCAGGCTGAAAATAAATAATTTACTTGTTCTCGTGAGACTTGTCTTCCATCTGCTAGGAAGATTTTTAGCATCCTGCATCGCCTCTAAATTTCATAGTTCTTCTGGGCCACTGGTGTGTTTGGACTGACTGATGGCCAAGTCTACTCTTGAGCAGCAGTCAAAGAATTATTGCCCCGCAGGAAGTGTTCCAAGGGAAAATAACTTGTCTTGAAAAAATGTGGAGGTTTCTCCTGGCTTCTCTGAGATTTCAGTGTGGAAGAAAGCACCTAGATTTGTCTGCCTATGCTTTTTCTTTTCAGCAGCTTCTGTTGGGTGTACCTGCAGCAGAGCCAAGAGTCTTTTCTATAGGGAAAATAGTGCAAACTCTTACTAGAGTAAGAAGAGATCTGTTATTTCCAAAAACTAACTTGGAAGAATATGTTAGATGGTCTTCGTCTTGGTGCCTGTGAGTTCCACATGTTGAGATGTAAGCCTGTTTGTGGGCTTTTTTTTTTTCAACCAAGATGATAGGAGAACAGGGAAAGGAGGTCAAGAAGTGAAATGACTATTAAACTTGGATGTTATCCTAGACTTCTGTTATTTCCCTGGATTTGCTGTCAACTTCCTTTACTAATTCTTATCTGTATAAACTTTCTTCTGTGGTCTGCAAGTTCCTGCTTGGGAAGGAAGCAGCAAGAACTTTGTGTAGCTGCAGATTCGTGGATTGGTTCAGTTTGTATGTGTGCTGAGTAGTTAAGCAGCTGGCCAGACAGAACAGGGGACTTGTTCTCATGTTGAGTCTTTAACTCAGTGAGTATATTCATCCACATCTCCAGCATATCCGCTTATTTTAATGAAATGTGTAGGAACAGAGGCTTTTATCCCATTAGGCTTTGTTGGAATAACCCATCATCAGCTGATTCTTAACTCCTTAGGAAAGCAGAATAAGATAAGTATATAGCTACTGGAGTGAAAAACTGGAATTGCAAATATAGTGGGTGGAAAAACACATTCAGGTAGTGAGAACCTCTAGGAGGCTTTAGTTCAGAAAGTAACTGTTGCCTAAAAGCTGTCAAAACGTAGTGTTACAGCTGACAAATTGTTACAGCTTGGTGAGATATCTTCTACTGCCCTGCTTTTGCCCTTGTTGTCCATGGGACTACAGTACTTTTCTGCTGCCTGAGTCCTTGGAGAGTGTGCCACATCTCATACAGAGTAGCTCAGAGCAGTTAGACTGTGCCTTAATGTCCCATTGACAGTTTCTAGGCCACTTTCTCAAAAACTTGCAAGTCCTGCTCATCTGGAAATACTGTGAATGGAGGCACTGTTCTGATCCTGCTGCAAGTAAAAGGAGAGATGAAGAAATCTCTTTTGTGAAGATAACTTCACATCTAACTTCTAATTTTATCAGGCTGTCAACAGTTGGGTGGAATAATGCAGTTTCTGTCATAAGAGTGAGGAGGCCCAGATAAGGATGTGTGACAAATGTGCAGATATGTAGGTCTGCAGAGTGCAGCTTGCTCCCTAAAAGACCAAGTTTCCACATGGTGTTTTGTTCCCCCTGAATAAAGGAGAACACAACAGGATAAAAACTTGCAATACAGCTTCCTGACCAGTGGTTTGTGCCTTGCTTGATAATGGATAGTGCTCTGCTGTCTAGTTAGGGAAGCTTTGTATGCAGTGTAGATAATGCTTTGTAGATTATGATCCAGAAACTACTTCTAGAAATAGACTGTATCTCAGTGGGTCTGTAGTTCTTGGCTTGTAGGGGCAGTGTGAGATGTACATTTAGCCAGTGGCATGTCACTGGTGTAGGTGGTTGTACAGCAGGTGTTCCATGGATCTTTGGAAAAGGCAGAGGAGAAGCAGTAGCTTTCATTAGGAGCACTTGCTGCATGAGGAGAAAAAGAAAAGTGAGGAGAAAGCATTTAAAATGAGAGTTACCTGTGGACAGATAAACAAGAGACTAGAATATGCAGACTTTGTTTCTGCTACTGATAGAGAAGCAAAAAAATGGTGTGGGAAGAGATAAAGCTAGAAGAGGAGTATCTGAGACCATCAGTAAGAATTTGAGTACTAAAATGGCAGAAACTTGCTTTGATAGAAGAAAATAAGTAATAAAGCAGAATCAGTTAACCTGTGGGACTCGTATCTCATGCTGGGACTAAACTTGGCATGATACAAGGGATGTATCACCACAGAGGCTATTAATGAGCTTTCTGTTCACAGCCCTATCGTGATTCATGCCAGTGCAACAAATACTGTCAGTGCTGGAACCATATAGAAAGGAAACAAATGACAGCTGTGTGGAGGAGCTGACATGATAAGCTGGGCCTCTGGTGATCTCTTGCTATAGAATTGGAAGATTGCCATGTAATACATTGTGAGCTGTGAAAATACCAAGACAGCAACAAATTACATTGCTGGCTTTAAAGCAGAGATATATCCGTAGGAAGGTTTAAAATCTCTGACGTTACTGGAGACAGGTTGTTTCCAGCAGATAGAATACATACCATGAAAGCGTGTAAGGGGCTAGGTGATCTAAGTGTAAGGAGGACATCAAAGGTCTGCAGCAGTGGGTGCTGAAATGAGAATCTGGCAGGGTGTGTATTTTGAGATGGAAATAAACTTTCATTGCTTTCACTGGAAATAATGGCATAGCAGTAACTTCCTGACCAGTAACTTGCTGTGGACTTAACATTCGTATCCTAGTTTCCAATTATATTCCAGCTCTTCGTTCTCTTGAATACAGCCTTTGCACTCTGGTGTGTCAAAAGCTTCAACAGTTATTCTAGTGGCATGTGACTGTGCAGTTCAAAAAGTTCAGTATGCAGAGATAAAGGTCCTGTGTGAAACAGCTATTTTGAAAACATTAATGACAGCGTACAAGAAGTAAACCAAGAATATAAGTATTGGACCTGCAGTATTTTTATTGCTTTTCTAATACGCTTATACTGTAACATGTAAACAGAAGTCTGCCAGCTGACATAGTTTTGTGGCTTTCATATTAATTTATTTCCTACTAATTAGATGTTGCTACTGCCAGTGCATCATTCTGTTGTGCATGTATGTAGGCTATGTGCACCATAGTGGAAAAAAAAAACCTCAGTATTTTTTTCAATATTCTTGGTCTTGGTTTTCCTTGTGAAAGAGGACCCAAGGTAGAACAGAACTTTGTGGGTGTGTTGATGGTGTTTTTTTTTTTTTGCTTCTTGGCTTGGGGAGAGAAGCAAAGTCTGAGACTTGTCTGAGAGCCAGTTATGAGTGCAGCTGGCCTAGTTGTGAGAAGTTGCATTTTAAGTGACTCTGAGTAGGAAATGGAGGAGTCTTTAGTGTTGCAGTAGTTCTATGTGGTGAAAGGGTTTTATAAAGCAACTGTGATGCATTTCAGATAGTAATACCTGAATATGTTTTTAGAAAAGTGTTATACAAGTATCTCACATCAGAGGGTTTTTGGGTGGCATGGAGTTTTCACTTGAAAAAGTTTAAATGAAACTCGGTAGCCTTTTTAAAAAATGTTCTGGTGTATGATAGCAGAATAAATTATGTAAAAGCATCTTCTAGTTAACTATTTTAGGCAACTTACAAGGTTCTAGTAAAGTAGCATCTAAGATTCTTCTCCATCTGATCTTGTTTTTAGTACTACAATAGTGAGGTTTTGGCCCTGACCTTGTGCTAACAGCTCCTGTTATGCCTTTGATTTTTTTTTTACTGGCTCTGTTAAGACAGAAAATGTTATGATAATGAAAACTTTGGAAAGTCAGTGATAATTTCACATGTAAATATTCTGTGAGTTCACAAAGTCCATGAAGGCTTTCTGCCAAGGTAGAACTGCAAAGGTCACATCTGACTCAGTCACTGAGCAAATTGCTGCTGTGACGTAAGGTACCAATGCTGCCAGTTCTGGCTGTGACAGATGCTGCCCCTTCACCAGCTCTGCTGTGTGTTCACTTCAGCTGTTCTAGCTGAGTGTCTTAAAGATCTGTGTGAACTGTGGATGAAGTTAGGATGGCTGGTAGTGTGCTGGGCAGCTGAGTATAGCTCCTCATCTGTGAGACTGGAGGTGCTGTGCTGGAGGCAGGGGTGGAGAGGAATGGGAAGAATTGAATGGGGACTCCATTTCAAGTCACTATAGCTACAGTTGCCAGAACTGGATGATCAGAGGTGTGTGATTCAGGTGCCACAACATCTTCACTGGGTTGTAGACCTAGAGTGTCTTCAAGTGCTTTGAGGTCCTGGTAACTATGCAGTCTGCCAATGGTAGTGTTCTCATGATGCTGAATGTGTAGGGACCATTGATCAAATTCCTCCTTGGCTGGATGGTGTATTCCTGTGGAAGAGCATGTGATACTGCCTTCTACTGGCTAATCAACTGGTCAGCTCTGGATGTTCCTTATTAAGGACACAATTGCAATGAGTTTAATTCTGCTGTGGTTTCTGTCAATCTATTGAAAGCTGGTGTGGAAGCTGCTGAAGTAGTAATTCCTGTTGCTTGATCATTAGCATCTTGTAGTAGGTATCTCTGACTATAAGAATCCTGGGTTGCTACAGAACTAATGCTTTTATATTTGGGGTGGTGGAGGAATATTTCCCAGCTTCCCAGCTCTCTGCAGCTTTAATTGAGGTTTTTATCATTAGCACTCTATTTCGTTATTGCTAGCCCTTTACTCTGCTGTATCAACATTCTAGGACTAAGGCAACTACTATAAAAAAACAAGCAGAATATTTTTTTTATCTGTAGTACTTAAGAAATCTTCTCAGGCAGGACAACTGCTTCTCTGTCTCTGTGTAATGCTAAACTTGACTCTCCTGATGTTTTGTCTAGCCTACAGCTGTACACATACAGGAGTTCCTCACTCTGTTGGCTGTGTGTCATACTGTTGTTCCTGAGAGACGAGGAAATACAATAATCTACCAGGCTTCCTCCCCAGGTTGGTGGTTGCTGTCTCAGGGGAAAGGGGTGAGGGAAGTAAATAAAAGGAAGATGCAGAAATTTCTCTAACAGTCATTGATTATGAAAGCAAGATGTTCCCTGTGATGCAATCAGATCTGGCATTTTCTGTTTTTGGAGCACACTGCTTTTGAATGCCTCCTGCAAAACCTCCAAGTCCATGACGTTTCTGCAGAGTTAAGTTGGTTGTATCCTTTTTGCTTTCATGAGACTTTCTGCAGGGGTGAAAAGCAGAACTAAAACTTCGAGTGTGTAGAGCTGATCTATGGAAGTACTGATTTGTTTCTGTGTAAACAGTTAGTTGGTTTATTTGGTGTGCCTGAAAACCTGTGTTTCTTGATTTAGTAGCTTCCCATCTTGATCTAGGGGGAGAGAAGGTGCTGATATGTGACAGAATACAATTAAGCAAAGTTTTGGCCATATTAAGGCCTGACCTTCACCCATTTCTTCCTTCTTTCAGGTAGCACAGAGGTATTGAAGGACTTAGGCAGGGCTGAAATCCAAAACAGCAGGGCTCAGGTCCATATCAAATCTACCTCTGTCACTGAGAGTGTTTCTAGAGTTAGTGATGTACTGAGTGATGAAGCAGCATCATTGCTTATTTTGTAGCAATCAAGTGCCTGAGGAGTAGAGAGGACACTAAGGGAGTGGGTAGACAGTAGGTTTTCTTGCATTGGGCACTAAATCCACCTACATGGTGGTTGTGCTTAGTGCCACTTGCTCCTTAAGGACACTGTCACTGTCTCCTAGAAGTAGAGGTGTTTCCTTTAGTTGCAGCTCAGTTATTTGAGCTTCTAATGACACTGCCCAGCTCCAGAAGACAAGGCTGTGTTTCTGTAGCAGCTCAACTTAGTGCTTTTACAGTAGGAAATGGATCAAATGCATGTTTTGGGTATTTAGAGTAACACAGCTTTGATCTCACTTTCAGACGAGGTATTTTGCCTTTTTCATGTGGAAAAGTGTGGTTCCTCCTCAACAGCAGAGTTTAGTAATTACAAAACGTTCCATACAGTTTCTGCAGTTTGTGTAGCTGATATTGTGTGGCCTTTGTAGGACTAAAATGTGAATGTTGTGGAAGTGTGTGCAAAGCTAATGTAGCAACCCTGCAGATCACAGTACATGGGGAAGGGGGCTGCTGTGTTTCAGCAGTGTCATGTTTAGGGTCTTTGTGGCCCTTTTCTACATACCAGATTAAACTTATGCTTCTCTTGTATTGGCAGATGAAGGAGCATTAGTGAAAGGAGCAAAGAAACTTGGTTATGTCTTCACAGCACGGACTCCACACTCAGTTATCATTGATGCTGTAAGTAGTGGACATGCATGGCACAGACTGCCAGGCTTATGTAGAGCATAAATGTCTGCTGTGAGGTTCTTCTGAGTTCCTCTTCACAGGGCTTCTAGGATGCTACATTCAAAAGGCTTTTGCAGAGGGAAAACTCATGTTAGTCTGTTTGTTAGATGCAAAATCCTTTGTCCTTCTGTGGCACAGGAAATGGGAGGTTGTATCTTCCATGGGAAGTGACAATAGTTGTGCCTGAAGAACTGTAAGATGATCTGTAGAATATGTATCTGCTTAAAAAGCTCTGTGCAGGGGTGCATGGTTGATGAGTTAGACACAAGCAGTCTCAAACTCATGGGGCCACGTTCTGGCTTAAGGTGCAGCCTAAGCTGAAGTGGCTGCTGATTTACACAGGCATAACTAACAGGTTGCTTATGAGATGAATGGATGTGTTCTTGCCTTCCAGGTGCGTTCACTTCCAAGTTTCTTCGTACACTGCCAAGCTAACCACTTAAAACGTATCTATGACTTGTCATAAACTCCTCAGAACTTCTCAGAAAACTACTGCTTAGTTTTAAGAGGAAGAGCTTAGGATGAACAGTGTCATCTAGAGCTCTGTAAGATCATACATCCTATGCAGGAAGACCCAGGTCCCTCTGACCTGATTTCATACTAATACTTAGCAAGCTGGGAGTATGCTGGGATTCAATGGGCAGCAGTAAAACATGTCATTCCTCAAGGCTTCCATCCCTCCTCATTGCTTACATCAGTGTCAGAACACATAATGTGGGTTGGAGGTGGCTTTTGGTCTTGGGGCTGTTGCTGAACTGCTGTGTGCTTTGTAGGACATGACTGTACTGCAGTTGGGTTTTGCTTGCAGCCCTTTCTTTATCCATGTGCTACAAATGCCACTGGAGTTCTGACACTCCAATAACTACCACTGCTCCTTCCATCTGTTACACAACAGGAATGGCCAAGACAAGATGTTTCTACAACCTTTTCCTTTCTCAGCTTGCTCATGCTCAACCCCAGTAGACAGTGGTTGATGAGAACAGAATTGTTCCCCAGTTAACCATTTTTTTTGTCCCACAGAAATATTATGTAATATGCTTGTAAATACAAGTAAAAGAAAAAATAAGTTAGTTCATGCAAAAGTTACAGTAATATCAAATCTGGATGGTATGTGTGTTTCAACTTGGAATAATGATCATGGTCTGTAATATATCTTTTAGTTTATAGCTGCTGAGAATTAAACATGCAGCTGAACTTTCAGAGCATACTATCTGTCTCGGAGTAAGAGACTAGTTCCTTGAAATTGAGTAAAAATAGTAAATGGAGGATGCCAGAATATCAGATGAAGTGGACTTGGAATGGCTTCATTAAATATAGCTTTTCATTAAATTTTGACTTTTACCAGGAGAGGGAGCTAGTACCACATTTTATTTACACTGGGCTGTTTAATCACTTGCATGTTCACATGTGTAAAAATATACTGCAAGTTATATTTACAATAATACATGCTTTCTTTTTGTAGCTGGGAAAAGAAAAAACCTTTGAAATTCTTAATGTGCTGGAGTTTTCCAGGTAAGTTTTTCTCCAGTAAATTCAGGGTAACAAGAAAAATATTTCTGTGTATATAATCATTGGGAATAAAAAGATGCAACTTATGGAGTTGAAAAAGTTGAACTTCCTTAATTTTGTCCTGCACCTCCATCTCCTTGTTTCCAGTATGGGATTAATAAAGAGCTTCTTACAAACTGGTGGCTCTTGGCATGTAAGTGTGAAACTCTTCCCTATCACTCTAGCTTTGTTGTCTTATTGAGAAGCTGCTGCCCTAGAAGTGTCATTCTGTGCCTCACTGATTTGATGATGTGTCAGTTCTCTACTCCAAGAACGTGTTTTGAGTTTGCAGTTTTATAGAGCTTCTGTGAATTCTTTTGACTAAGTGAAATCTACAACCAGAAGGCTTTTTGGTGCCCATCTTTAAGAACCACTCTAGCTATGACAAGCTAAGTCTTGCAAGCACTCCTACCTTGTTAAAGCTAGTTAGTGGGCACTGCTTGGGTAGCAAGAAGCTTTGTGTGATGAGTTGGGCCCTTAAGTTACTGGAGATGATAAAAGGTGTTTTCTCTTAGTCAGAGGAAGTGGTTTGTTTGGCTTTTTGTTTATATAATGGTAGTCAGCAGGCTATTGGTTTTATTTCCTCTATTCCTTTTGTGGTTTAAAGCCTTGAAGTTGTGTTATCTGCACTCTTTGAGTTGGTTGACTCTGCTCTAAAGGAATGTATAAAACTAAAGTCAGGGAAGACTCAGGTAGGCAGCTTTTATTGTGTCCTGGCTTGGTTTGAAGATTACTCTTGACTGCTTTCCCCTTTTCATTCAGACTGTAGCTACTTAAGCTACTTGTGAGAATATCTAAAAAGGTGGCAGTTGTTCAGGGTTTCTTGGCAAATTGACTAATACCCTGGTGTCTCTAGACAGGAGTAGCTGTAGCCTGCATACAGCAGGAAAAAGCTGTCTCAGCTCTTCCGTGTGTAGCAACTTCCCACTTGACCAGTGAGGGACTTCCTGTAATTAGACTACAGAAAGGATATGGAAGTTTCCCAGCTTGCTGCAGAAGTTCTGGGCACAGTTGGTTGCTGTCCTTTCAGACTTTCTCTAGGAAGTCTCAATTATTTTCTTTGATCACATGTACCAAGAGCCTACTTTCTTACAAGTGGCCCTGGAGCCCTGAAAAGGAGTTAGAACTCCCAGAGCAATTTCAGAGGAGGAAGTCTGCTCTACACTTTGATCTGTTTGTACGTATTGACAAGTAGAGAATAAAGGAGAGTGCTTTCTTCCTTCACTAAAGGAAGGAATTATATTAAATAATTCCATGAAACCACATGTTCTTAGAGCTCTTGATGAGATTTTATTTGCATATGCCTCTTGCAAATTACTTTTGTTCCAGTGGCTCTTTTAAAGAAGTTTGCTAAGCAAAATGCCAAGTGAACTTTAAAAAATAAGGTTGCTTACTTTCTTTTGCGAAGCATCTGTGTACAGTGTGCTACTGCTTACCTTTTTTTAAAGTTATATCCCACACTTGACTGTCCTGATTGCAGCCTTGCTCAGAGGGTCTGACTTTGGTTTTATGTAATCCCAATAGTATAGGTCTGACGAATATAAAGAACTTGCAGGAAGGCCAAGAGCTGGTCTATACTGTGATTCCTTTCTGACATTTCTTCATTCTTCTGAGTTAGGAAGTAACCACCCTTGTCAGTGGATGGTTATTTCAGTGTCTGTAATGCCTGTAGTAAATAAGTAATAAGCATATGTTCAGCCTTAATGATTCAATTTCTAGCCCCACTCCAAGTAATTTTGCTTGAGGAATAAGGAGAAGCTGAGAATAGATGTGACCACTTCTTTCAAGAGTGTTTTTGTGCTATTTTGCACTCCTCCAAATTCTTGCTGGCTTTTGGGTGCAGATGTGTTTTCTGGTTGAGTGCTTGTGATGGGAGCCACAGGCTGAAGCTGGAAGTGAGCAGTTTGGTATTTCTCTGTGCTGTGAAGGACTGTGAGGTCTGACATTACTGCTGCTACCTCTCACCTGATCTCGGATGCACTAAACATGTGAGAACTCACTGGCTAGAGCGAGACTTAATCCTCATCACTATGGCTAATGAAAACAAATATTTGTTTTTCCTTTCTTCCAATAGCAACAGGAAGAGGATGTCAGTGATTGTCCGAACTCCAGCAGGACAGCTGCGGCTCTACTGCAAAGGGGCTGTAAGTAGTTCTGCTACCCAGTGGAGAACCCACACTAACACTTACTGTTTCAACAGCTGTGGCTGATGCTGACACTGTCTCATACATAATACCTTTTGGCTTTCTGTTTAGGACTGAGTGACTTCAGAGGTCACTGTCATTCTTCCTCTGACTCTTTGCAGGCAGGAAGATTGCTTGGTTTTCCACTACCTGGTTGAAATCCTGAAACTAGTAGGAGCAGTACCCTTTATTGAAGCAGTCAGGATTTCACCTAGCTGTGCAGCAACAGTTTAAGCTCGGTTGTTGCTGTTGCCCAAGTCTGTAATACTAAAATCTCCTCTCAAGAGGCTGGCTCTTGATCTGGCTCTGTTGCATCTCTGCACCTGCTGTCATTTGTCATCATGACTTTGCACCATGTTGTGCTTCTGTCTTCACTGACAAGAGCTATTACTTATCAAAGTACAAAGGCTGCAAAGCTAGCATTGGCCACAGCCACACAGTGGTTCTAATTTCAACGGAAAACTATGGAGTTGGCTTTTTGCAACAGGGAATACCATTTCTGACTCCTCTGAGGATATGGTTTACTTGAATTTGTCCTGATGTATAGGTCTGGGTGCATGACTGGTGCTTCAGTTTAACTCCCCTCATTTGATAAAGGCATGCTGGCTTTGTGCTGGTCTGATGGGATTGAATGAAGCCCACTGTCATTGTGTGCTACTGCAGACCTGTTTGTCTAGTAGGACTGCACAGATCTGCAATTACTTGTTGCCCGTGCTATGCATGACTGTGCTGCTTCTTGGAGTGTAGCACTGGAAGGGATGGATAACAGGAGAGTTGGTGGTTAAAAAAAAAAAAATCCATAGTCTTCCATATAAGCAGGCTGAGACATTTAGCCAAGCAAAGAGGTGGCAATTAGTGTGATTTGGTGTTTTTTCTTCAATGTTCTGCTACACCTGCTACCCATCTAAACTAAGTTAACTGCCTATTCTACAGAAACTCTTCCACATTCTGATAGTCACCTCCTGTCTGGTCTTTTCCAGTACAAATTACTTGTTTTATATGCCTGCCTGATCAATGATAGAAGTGGGCCTGTTTACTTAGCCTAAGAGTACATGTTTGAGCAAAAAGAGGGTTTTAATATTTTGTGTGTAGAAACTTGTTCTGATAGTTGCAGAAAAAAATCCAGACTCTAGATATGTAGGGGATGGTGCTGTGTTTTGATGGCAGCTATTATCTGGCTGTTTTCAATTGTGCTTGGATTTAGTGATAAATGAAGTTGTTGGAGGAAGGTTATTTGAGATTATTTTGTCATAGAACTGGATCTGCATGTCTGCCTTCTGTTTTCTTAACATCTGTTGGATTTTCTGTTTCCTAGAAAGAATTGCAAAAAGCTCTTCTGTATGAGACTACAGTGTGTATTGAGTAAGACCAGACACTTAGTCTCTGAAAATCAGTATATCCACTTAGTAATCAAGGGAATGTCCTGTATTGCCCAGTAATGGGGACCACTTCATGGAGAGTTAAAGGGGATGCAGTATCCCTGCTACTGGGCACAATCCCAATTACTTACACCAGAGTCTCTAAACCCCAAAGATATTGCTGGTAAACATAGTCTTGGGTTCTGATACTAGGAAGTCTAATAAGGTTACTTCACTTGAGCTTGTAAATACGTAAATGGAAAATTAATGTGTAGACTAACTCTGTTGTATTGAATTTGGTTTTAATAGGATAACGTAATTTTTGAGAGGCTTTCAAAAGATTCCCAATACATGGAGCAAACACTGTGCCATCTTGAATACTTTGCCACAGAAGGTGAGAGAAACAGCATATCGTGACAATTCTACCTAATTACTTGCAGCATATTTTTCATTGTCTAAGCTTTGTGGAGCCAAATAAGATGGTTATGAAGCTTAAGAAGTGTGTAATCAGCAATTCAACAATTGTTAGATAACTTTAAGTGTAAGGAAGCCCTACTTCTTTGTGATTCCAGTAGGGAAGTGAAATTTGGAAGAAAAAGATAAGGTTCTATGTGCCTATGATGAAAGAAAAGGGTGTGAGTTGTATTGCCTAGAGTACCTCAATTACTTTTGAGTTAGAGATGTTTTTACTGCTGTAAAAGTCAGATGACATTCCTTGACTTTAGGAAGCAGTGTGATAACCTGAATGTGCTGAAATCCTGGAAGACCAAGACATAAACGATGATCTGAAGTGGTCTGTAAGGCCTTTGACTGACAGAACAGCTCTATTGACAGGGAAGTGCTTGGCTTTGTTCCCTATTCTGCAGTACTGTAAGATATTTGCATTGCAGTAAAATGTTGACCAGTGTTTTTTCTTCCTAAATCTGAAGATATGCTTCACTTTTGAGAAAAAAATTTTAAAAAAATCATTCACAGTAACAAAACTCTTGTATTTTATGGCACAGTTTTTCTGCTTGACTCATTCCAGGAAAAAAAAAAAATTACTTTTGTATGTTAATTTTTCAGTGGCCTAATAAAATGTTTTTGATACTTCGTGGGCCCTATTCTCTCCTCTTCTCTGCTTGTGTAACTCCCATTGTTAATGTGACTCCAAGTGTACACTGAAGGAGGAAGTAGTCTTCCTAAAAGGCAGTGTAGTGTGTGCAGTGTGTTTGACTGTGCAGTTTCTCTGATCAAAATATATAGCTAGTCCTTTAATTTGATATTTTTCAAGATACAGGAAAGTTAACCTTGCTTTTGTATTTAAAATATAAAGATTGAAGATTATGCTTTTGTTGCATCAGTATGTCCAGATTGCAGTACTGAAAATCAAGGAGAAGCTCATGCCCATTAGGTGCTCTCTTCATTTGCACCAACAGTAGTAACCTAAATAACCTGGATTTCTGTTATGCATTTGTAAAAGCCTAAATGATTAAAAAATTTACAGGGAGATGTTCTGGAAGCCATATTCTAACGGTGTGCATTAAAAGCTCTTATTGTTCTAGTGAAAGGGTTAGAATTTAGTGCTTGTTAGGGCATTAATGACTTGCTGATGCTCAGTGTAATTTTACTGTGTGCAATGGCTGCCTTCTGTTTTGTAGGTCTGAGGACTTTGTGCATTGCTTATGCAGATCTGTCAGAAAACTCTTACAGGGAGTGGTTGAATGTCTACAATGAAAGCAGTACAGTTCTGAAAGACAGAACTCAGAAGCTGGAGGAATGCTATGAGATTATTGAAAAGGTAAGCTGTGTAGTTTAATGGCCAGATACAGATTTCCCTCCATGTCTTTTCCCATGGTATTTGGGCTTCATACAGTAAAACAGTTGATTTCAATCATGAGAAACTGAAAAATACATTCTTAGTTGACAACATGTTCAGTCCATACAACTCCTCAAGTTGTAGTTTATAAATCGGACTTGGGTATAAAAGGGCCTTGATCCTTTTAAACTCCTTTTTCGTGTTACTTTTATCTTAGTGTCTTGTATTAAGGTTGATGTAACTTGATAATGATGATGTATAAAATCATTGTTGGACCAAGCTCCCATGTACCAGCATATGAAGGGAAATTGGGTCCTTTTCATACAGCAGTCACAGTTGACGTTTTATGAGGGGTACTGTAGACAAACCAAAGTGCTCATCCAATCCTGTAGTTGTCTGAACTGAAAAAAGGTGAAGAACTGCTCTCCATGCAAATTGCAGAACTCAATTTTAGAAGGAGAGAGTAGGTATCAGAGAACCAGCTGAAATGCTGTAGTCCCACATTGATTGAAATGTTAAAATGTCAGCACTAGGGGCCAGTATTTCTTTGATACTTGTTGGTCTTGATGCTTTCTGAAATGCTGGTAGTCCATTTCTCACCTATACCTGCTCATACTGTTTTCCCCTTGTTCCACCTATTTCACTCCTGTTTTATTCAGTGGTTTATTCAAAACACTCTTTGAACTTCAATTTCTTTAAAAATCAGATGCAATTTAAGTTCTGTAGTGTTGTTGATTATTTAAAAGGGGCACAAGAGATAGAGGCTAGAACTAGGATGGGAGCTAACTTTCATGGGATAACAGGAAAACTCCAAGAGCTCTTTAATAGCTGAAGATTAGGCCTTGCTTTTCAAACTAACACCCAAATCATCTTTTCTGTTGGTTGATTAGTAGCAATAAGGTTGTCTAATCCCAAATTCTGTACACTTGTATAGCTCTTCTCAGCTTTCTGCTTCCTGCACTGTGCTCTCATGCTCTTTCGTGTTCACGGAGGTAAAAAAGCAATGTGGCTTGATTCTTTTTAAAATGTTTGCAACCTTAGATCATTTTTGGCTATCTACTTTGTCTCTTTTCATAATTTAATATCTTGAAAAAAGGGCACCCATGAATGGGTTATGGATTTGGAGTTTTGGACTTAGTGCCCTGTTGGTAGGAAATAGTTGCTATATTCCTTGCCTGTTAATGTTTGTTGGTGATACCAAGGAGCAGGGAATTGCACTTGAAACTTAGAGCTGGTATTTCCCTGGTTGAATTCTCTGATCCATAGGCAGTTCTTTCTAGGTAATAAATTGACTTATAACTGTACCATAAAATTTTATTTTAAGACAGGTTTGTTTTTTTCATCTGAGGGCTCAAAGGAGAGTGGGAGAGCTGCTTTGTCAGTCTGTATGTTGAGACCACTGAATCACAGTATAGATGCACATGTGGAGACCAAACTTGCACTGGCTGGCTTCCTCAACTGTACACAGGCAGAGGGGGCTTCACCAGGCACAAAAGTAACTCCTCTGCTCAGGTAGCTCAGCCAAGCTGATCCCTGTAATGTCATGTTGAACTGCTTAACACGTGGTTCTGGGAATAAAAGACAAATCTACAATTGTACACGTAGATTTTACTCGTAACCTTCAAATGTGGTTAGCATCAGTAGGGCTAGTATTTCATCAGGAGGCTGTAGGATACTAAAGCAAATGGCTTCTGTGACTTGATTTTAGTGCCTTTACCAGCTGGATATCTCATTACAAAACTTAAGCTTTGTCAAGCTGTGTAACTAATGCCAGCTGTAGGTGTAACTTACACCTGTATGAGTAGCAGCTTCCTCTTTGGTTCTTTGTGTGGATGCATGCAAGCAGGAGCTGCTCTGATGTCTTCACAGAATGATTCGGGGTTGGAAGGGGCTTTAAAGATGATGTAGTACCAACCCCTCTGCCATAGGCAGGGACATCTTCCACTAGGTCAGGTTGCTCTAAGCCCCATCCAAATCTGGCCTTGAACACTTAGAGGAATGCGGCATCTACAGCTTCTCTCTGGGCAACCTGTTCCAGTGTATTACCAGTGTCTTTGTGAACAGCTTCTTTGTGATGACCAATATAAACCTACCCTCTTTTGTTTTAATATTGTTGCCCCTTGTCCTGTCACTGTAGTACTTGGTAAACAGTCTTCCTCTGTCTGTCTTATAAGCCTCCTTTATATATAGGAAGGCCACAAGGTCTCCCTGAAGCCTTGTATTCTCCAGGCTGAACAATGCCAATTCTCTAAGTGCTTTTGTTCACCTGTTTTCACTTGTCTTGAATGATTCTAGTTGCAGGACAGAATAGAAACTGTTACTTGCTCTGTGCAGTTCCTGAAATGATAGAGTATAAACTCTGTTTGTTTCAATTTCTTTTTAATTCAACATCTTTACATGTTGAAGGAATCATTAAAATTCTATTGAAGTTAAAATCTGCTGAGTAGATTGTTTCTTTTAACAAGGTTTATTTCTTAGGTATTTTTGTCTGCCTGACTCTTTTTTTCTGTAACATGGCCAAATCTCTTCAAGCAGTTGCTTTAGAATTGCATAAGATTATGGTTAAATCTGTAGTATTGAATTTGTTGTATGAGACATAGTTTTCTGGCAGACAGCTGTATGTAGACTAGATACACCTGGGTTGATTAATTTTCATACCACTTGTATTACATAAATGTACTGATTATATCCATAAATAGTTGGAGTAATTTTTGCTTTAAGTTATTGTGTTCAGTCTATATGTACATTTTATGGGAGGGAAATTAGTTTAAATGATGTGATGCCAGGTGACCCTGGTTTTATGAGCTTAGGAAATACATAGTGTGACCACTCATCGTGTTGCTGTGGTGATTAATGAATACTCTTGTATATGTGTTCATCCAGAGGCTAGCTTTGGGGTTGTTTAATTTCAGTTAATTTCTGCTGATATATTGCCAGGTTTCTGATCAAAAACACTGTATTCTTCACCTCTAGGAGTGTGAGTTCTGTGCAGAGAAAGTAGAACAGCTACACCAGAAGCTTAGTGTAGTGTGTGTGTTGCTTGTCAAAATGCTGTATTGGCAATGAGGTGTAACATGCTGTCTTTAATACCTTTTAGAGTATGTTCCAAACGGGCTTACCTTAAAACAATCCCTCAAATTCTTTTTCCAGGATTTACTACTTCTTGGAGCTACAGCCATTGAAGACCGACTGCAAGCAGGTGTTCCAGAAACAATAGCCACACTAATGAAGGCAGAAATTAAGATATGGATTCTGACAGGGGACAAACAGGAAACGGCTCTCAATATAGGTATCCATTTTTCTACCTACTTTCAATTTGCCTGATAGGTGGCAGATTACTTACTACATCTGCTGCATGATGTTTGAAACAATCAGCCCTTCTAGAATGGTTCTTTGGTAGCAGGCAGGTATGTGGTAGCCTTTGATGAAGGTGGGGGAGTGGTTGGAGCAAAGTCTTTGCCCTGAGTAGCAGGCTATATTCAGGCTTTTTAAAGCAAGATGGACACCAGCTCTCAGTTAAGTGCAGTTCTTGTGCAAGGCAAAAATAGGTAACTCTGCTTTAATGGAAGCTAGAGAGCTCACCTAAACAGTAATGTTTCAGTTATACTGTGCCCAATTATATTGTATCAAACCTGTTACAGCTTTTTTCTTTTCTCACCTACTGCCTTTTCTAGACTTCAGTCAAGTTTGGGATATGGGTAAATATGGTCATACAAAGTATATAGCTCACAAATCTTGTCTGTGGAAGTAGGTGGATGCTTGAATAACAGCTCCTGCTGTCACCTTGTGGCACCTCTGTTAGTCAGGTGTGTCGTGATTTAGTGGAAACGTGTTGCTGCTATGGATAGTTTAATGTGGATTGTTTTATCAAGGCACACAGTATGGATATCCTAGCCTCAAACTTGTTTCTGCATCTTAACTCTACAACTACACTCTTCATAACACAGAAAAGTCTTGTAGTGATGTGAGCAAAAAATGTGAATCAAAGTATTTGTCAGACCAGTGCACTTGGGTACTGGTGTAATGGAATGGGAGCCTTCGGGAGGCGGCTGTTACTCTGAATGCCTGGTTTCGCAGCACGAAACTTGAGTGTTGACCACTAAGTTGAGGGTTGTGTTTTTTCTTAGAAGCAGCCATTAAATGTTAGGTTTCCTTTAGGTCCTAAATATACCTGACAATCAGTCTATATACTCAACTCTATCTGTAATTTGTCAAGTGTAAAGACTTCACTGTAAGGCTGGGCTGAACTGGAGGTGCACATTGTCATTTCAATTGTATAGCAACTAGGTTTTTGTCCTCTGTAGCACTTCTGCTGGTGTTAGTCTTGCATTGCTTATGCCACATTAACAGGTCTAAAAAGTAGTCAAAACTCAGATCCTTAGGCCTCTTTCTCACTGTGGATGCTTGCAAGATGGGCAGTGTGGGCAGCAATACCTTGTGGTGTCGCAGAACTCTGGTGTGCTTGAAATGCTGATTTGTGAGCTGCTGTTGTGCTCAACCCTTCACATAACACTGGTAGTGTTCTAGGAGAGGGGCTGTCCAGGTCTTCACTGAGTAGTAAAGACTTGCTAAAGCAACAGATTCATCATGGGTGCATCTGTGTGCTTCCATCAATCACATACCTCCCAAAATTAAGCTGAATTTTTTTTCGCTTTGGTTCAGTGGAATTTCAGAATGTAGTCTACTGGACTGACTGGAGTTTTTATTGACTTATCAAAACTGAATCAAGTTTCATGTGTCTTTATATGTTGAAGTTGGTACCGAGAGATGAAATAACTTGCTCAACTACAGTTGTAGTAAAAATAAGGTGGATGGATTAAGGAGGCAGTTGATTGACGTGCTAGTTACCTGGTTTGAATCAGTGTCTGTAGACCTTTCTTTGAAAGCAGTAGTCAGCTTGAGAGGAGGGAAGCATCTTTTGACAAAAATAATTTAGCTACAGGTTTTGGCATAAATACTCTAAGTTGTTATAAATTGACAGTAGCTATACTGAATGTAAGTGAAGGAGCTCTTACAGCAATGTGAATGAGACTAACTTCCAGATTGTCTGCTGACGTGTAGCAGCTTGTAAGGGAGATGCTTATTCTTTTCAAATTCTAAACTGCCATTTTGTTTAGTGTACAGTTTGGTAATAAAACTCCTGAACTTAATTAGCTCCATGTTCAAGCTGGCTTTAAAGAATAAACATGTGGCACCCTTCCAGTTTCTGTATGTAAGCTATTAAAACTGTAATAAACATTCAATTTAAAACCCAATCCATATGTACACTTCAAGTGTATGTATGTTACCTGGGGAATAAAACACTTTCACTTTCTTATTGTGTGGGGGTTATGGACCCTTGCTTCATTTGTAGATATACCAATGTCCTGAAGGATATTTGAACTCTAGGCAGTTGTCCCAAGGAATTGAAGTACCTTCTTCCAGCTTCCTCCTCATTCTTTGCTCTTTTGAATTTGTATATCTTTGTCTCTTGTGTTCTTGGCTTCTCTGAAGAGTAATGATTGACCTTGCTGTGGGGTGGTTGTGTGCCAGCAAATAGTCCTGCAGGAGAGAAAGGTGTTCCTGCTAAGCTTGAAAACTGATCAGCCATTTTATCTCTCTGCCTACAGAAGATAGGCATTGCAGGTTCAGAAATGTCTTAAAGCATGACATATGGTCTTCAGTTGTTATCAGTTGAAGCTGTTCTTGGCCAGTGTCTGCAAACAATTCTAGAAGGCTTAACACTGTTCTTGTAGCTTCATCTTTCTCTTAAAACTGTCTGCAGTCTAGATCATCCTTGCCTTTGAGGTAAAAAAAAACCCCAGCATGGCAGATTTCTATTTATCATTAGCCTGGTGTTTGGTAGGCTACCAGAAAATCAGAACTGATGTATTTTTGTCTTTCCAGCCAATAACTTCCTTGGTAACAGACAGTTTTCTGGGAATGTAGTGTTTACTACAGTAGTAGTTTACTCAGCTGCATCCCTCACTTGAACAGCTTGCATTGATCCCTGCAGTTGAGCTAGGTGCTCTTATCTAGAACATGCAGTGCTTGCAGCTATGAATCCCTTAGTCATAGAACCACAAAAGGGTCTGGGTTGGGAAGGACCTTTTGAAGTTCTAGTCCAATCCTCCTGCCATGGAAAGGGATGTCTTTTGCTGGCTCAGAGCCCTGTCCAGCTAGACCTTGACTGTGTTGCTGCAACACAGGTGCAGGACCTTGCACTTGTCCCACAAGAACCTCATCAAGTTCAGTAAGGCTAACTCCTCAAGCCTGTCAAGGATGCCATCTGCATGGTATCTCTTCCCTCTAACATATCAGGACTGATCACTGAGGGACACTGCTCATTACTGGTCTCGATTTGAAAGTCAAGCCATTAACTAACTTTTCTGATGCAATCATCCAGCCAATTCCTTACCCATCTAACAGTCCACCTGTCAAACCCATATCCTTCCAACTTAGAGGAAATAACACTTCTGTTATGGTGAGCTGTGATTTTTTATTTTTCCAGCTGAGGGAACTGAAGCAATGCCAACAGGCCTGCCTGTGCCCGTGTGTGGAGTTTGAGCAGGGCATGTGTGCCCTCTCTAAACACGGAGGCTAGTCCTCCTTGCCTCAGACACTGGGCTCTGTATGCCTCCAGTGTGAATGTGCCTGTGGGCTATGATCTTGAACTCTGGTTCAAGCAGTTTTACTCCTAGGACACTTGAAGGGAAATAAGTCCCTGAAGTTCCTGACTGATCTGCTTCATGGGCTTTTAGTCAGACTCTTAAATGAAAGAGCCAGTGATTGTCTTACAGGTGTGGATTGATGTTTTATACCTGGCTTTGAAACAGCTGTTGATCTTATTCTACTCAGAAATGATGACAAAAATATGCCTTGACCTTAGTGTATTTTTGCTTGCCATAGAAGTACTGCCAATAATAACGGTTAGAAAACTTCATAAAACTTTAAAATATGTCTACAAATGTCCCTTGTAATATTACAATTGCCACTGACTTTACTATAGCACTAGATTTTAACGTCTTCATAGTCCTGACATTGTACATGATGAATAGGTCTCCTATAAATCATTGTTGAACTTGACTTACATCCTTCTATTCCAGTCCTGATCTCCTTCCTGTTTAATGTGATGACAAGATGCAAAATTACCTCAGTTGTAGGATTAGTTCTGACTTCATGCCTTCCAAGATGCACAGCAGGGCAACAATGTTTTCCACAGCTGTGTGGTTTTTTTTCCAGCTCCACTTGTCAAGTGGCATGCTGGTCTTTTTGAAAGAGGTAAAATGAAACAGTGAGCAGTGGTTTAGAAATTATAGCTTGCTATTGCAGCTGCTGTTCCAATCAAATGCTATTAGAAAATCCTTTTGAATTAGTTATACTGGATTTGTAACAGCCTACTGCACTAGGCTATTGCCCTTCCCTGGGGAAGGAATAACCCTGATGTGGAGGGAAGTGCTAACATTTAACCTCAGCTGACAGCTAAACCCCATGCAGCCGCTTGCTCACTCACCAGTGGTGGGGTGTGGGGGGTGAATTGAGTGCGAATGAGAAAACTTGTGGGTTGAGATAGTTTAGTAGGTAAAGCAAAAGCCATGCACACAAGCAAACCAAAACAAGGAATTGGTTCACTGCTTCCCAGTGGCAGGCAGGTGTTCATCCATCTCCAGGAAAGCCAGGCTCCATCATGCACAATGGTGACTTCAGGGGACAATGATCATTAGTCTGCATATCCCCCTCTTCCTCCTTCTTCCCTCAGCTTTATATGCTGAGTGTGATGTCACATGGTGTGGAATATCCCTTTGGTCAGTTAGGGTCGGGTGTCCCAGCTGTGTTTCCTCACAACATCTTGTGTACCTCCATCCCTCTTGCTGGTTGGGGTAGTGTGAGGAGCAGAAGAGACCTTGACTCTGTGAACTCTCCTCAGCAGG